TCAGACACTCCGCAGGACATCCTAGGTGTATTGTAATGTGTAAAAGGGTAATATAACTTTAAAAATTCTAATGAATAATCGTGAAATTTTATTTGGATGGTACTAGTGGCATTTCATATTTAAAAAGAATGTATATATGTCCTCAAATTTCCTGTGATTTTAATATTTTTATCATTATTGCGATGTACTGAATTGTCTTGAATATTGATGCTGTTAACAATAATTAGTGTACCATCATTTACTTAGTGTTCAGCATATCAAAAGGGAGGTGTGAAATGGGATATCATCAATAATGAATTATAATCGACAAGCCAATTTGTAGGATTTCGCACGTAATAGATTTCAGCACAATTGTGACACGCCTATAACACCTGGATACCTGTGATAGCCCCCTACCATTGTAATAGAACAATTGTCTCATTGATCATGTCAAGCTATTCTGTTGTTTATATTGATTTCCACAAAACGTTAACTAACTGCAATGGGAAAAAGAAAATAAAATCATTTTTACATATGTGAATGGTCTTGTTGTATGTACAGTCAGAAAATCAAGTCCTCTCGACTTGTTTCCGTTTTGAAATGTGTGAAGAGAAAGAATTTGTTTTAATATCTAGCAGTTTCTTTTGTCAGGCTGCATTAATGTTGGGAAAGTAAAGACTATTACATATTAATTTGTGGAGTTACATATTCAAAGGAATTAAATTGTATTCTTGTATTCGGTTAATGCTTAGTCTTTAGTGTCATGCAATATTCAAAATGGCTTCTGTATTCATGGTTAATAATTGGTTCTAGATAAAAGTTGGCTTTATGTGACATTTATATTCACCACCTTCCGGAAAGAACTGGCCCCACTTGTATAAAACATCTCAACTTGAGATTTCCTCAAGTCGAGATTTTCCTCAGCTGATATCTCCTTAAAAACGGCTTGCATAAAATTTTCTCAAGGAACAGGAGGAAGTCATCGCCTAGGATGTCCTGAAATTCCTTGAGGAATTTTCATACAAGATATTTTCAAGGAGATATTAGCTGAGAAAAATCTCGACTTGAGGAAATCTCAAGTTGAAATGTTTTATACAAGTGGGGCCTGGAATCATTCTTTTATCAAAGTGCTATGGGGACTGATCCCCGATTTTGCTTATGGTCCACAGACGTTGCTTGTCAAATTCTGACACCCATGTGACATTGAAGACAACTTTATAATACATTTAACCACCATCATACATTTTCATGCTAATTGAACTCCAGAACAGAAAAGCATATTGAGGCATGTGTCCATTTTCCATGGTTCTAAACAAATTCTGAATCACTGTTTTAATGAATGTTGGCAGGATTCTGTCGACACTAATAAAATGTTAAGGTAGACTTAAATCATTTCCAGGGTTGAGGGGGGACCCTTGAATGATCTGAAGCAGTGTGTACATTATATTCTCTTTATACTTAATAATGGTACAATGACCTGACATTAGCAGTTCACATTGTTTATTGTCCTGTTAACAGCCAGGGTCATTATAAAGCGAGGTATTGTAGTAGCAAGTGGCTACCTTACCTCACTAAAAAAATTGAATGGGTTTCCTGGAGCATCTGGGATAATTTGTCTTGCAACTACCACAGCAAAGAATAACACAAAAATTCCTGGTTAGCCCAGGGATAGAACCTCACCTCAGATCGTCAATGGTTACACTAGTATAATATTCTATCAATTGAGTATGGTCCTAGCTAATAAGAAAACTTGACATTCAGTTCCTTTGGCTAAGATCGGGACCTGGAGATACTTTATGCCTGCTTTACAATGTTTTAAATGGTCATGAGATCAACCATGTTGAACCTTGGGTGTGGCCTTAGGTTTAACATCAGAGATCCAATATGAACAAAGCTTTCATCCTTCAAATACCCTGAAACTAACATATTTTTGCTTTGCACAGTCTAATGAAAAAAATTGAAAATTTACAGCAAATTTCCACCTCCCAGCCTTGCCCTTCAGCCCTAGTTATTTCTCCCCTTTTTGCTTTACTCTTCAGCCCCCAAAAATCTAGCATTTTTACCCTTTTTGGCCCTGCCCTGGGAGATGGCCCTGCTCTTCATCTCCCAGGTACATGTATCTAGTACTTTCTCCTTTTTAAGTTTTTACTTTTCAGCTCCAAGTAACTTCTTTTACTAAAGCCACAGTCCTTTAAGATGCTACAGGTCAAATCTGTTGAATCCATTCAACATTTCCTCCAAAGAAGTCGATGAACTGACAACTATTAGTTCATTCCTTTTTTTATATGAATACATCCGATAGCATGTAGATGTATTCAATGTTACAAAATTATTCTGAACAGACCACAACAACTTACTTAAAAAGAAAATCATGTTTTATTATGCTTTAAACATACACATCTATCCACACAATACATTATAGGCTAAAAGTGAAAATGATCTGCAATTATTAGTTTCTATTTCGTATGATATTCAGGAAACAAGATCTGAAATTTTATTGTGTATTTGTCAGAATCTTTTAAAAACTGTTGAAAATTTCCTCCATATCATATCGAAACTGAAATATTCTGGAATTTTTTACGCTTCATTCTCAGCATACATTGATTTAACATAGAACGACACATTTACACCTTAGTACGAGTTAGATGATCTGTGCAGACTTGTATCTGTTCATGTCTGAAAATTACAATTTACCAAACTGAAGTACAGTGGACTTTTCTATATAGAAAATTATGACATATATTTCTTTAGATTTGTCTGTACCCGCACGCAAAGAGGTAGTCTTCCGAATGATTATCAGATCTGTGGGGGAAGAGAAGGTGGCACTCGGTTACAGATTTTTCTGGATTCAACCAAATATATACAACATAACTGTTTAAATAAAAGCTTGCACAACTTCTGATGACTTAGATATAACAAAAATAAGTTGTTTTTTTTCATATCTGATGTATGAACACATTTCTAAAATATTTAAAAAATGTTGATGTTTCATCCTTAATGATGCTGCCAAAAAGAAATACAAAACAGATCATATCAAAGTTGTAAAATTATATAACAGAGAAAACGCTAGACTAGAATTGAAAAGTCATATCAGAACTGATAAAAATCAAACATAAATTTAAATTTAATAATTAGTTACATCTTCAAAAATTAAAAAAATATTCTGAACTCTTAATTTAATCATAGATTAAATGAGCAGAGAGAATGCCAAAAAGTCATACGTAATGATACACGTGTATTTACTGTACAATCAGTTGGTAATATTCACTAGGGATGTTATACAACTATGGCTATTTGTTTTAATCAGTACGAGGATTTATGAAGTGAAAACTTATATCGACCGAGGTTGATATTGTTTATTTGAGCTCCATAAATCCAAAGGAAGAATCCAAACAAAATGCCTTTTAACGCTTTATTGACATTTCTGTATCAAACCTGAAACAACAAATGCTCAAGGTATGACCTCATATCATTTAAATTATATCTTATTCCAAAATATTCAAACAGCGTCATGGATACCAAAATTGTGATAAAACATTGTATTGCACTTTTGGGCAATTTTCTGGATATGTGTTTGAATCTGATTGGTTGACATCACGCGACTTCATACAGCACTTGCACAAGCATGCAATAATATGACGTATTATCACGTCACAGAGTGGAATTGATTTTAAATGGAATAACACATGATCAGATGTAGACAAGTCAGCATTTAATGCAAAACAAAAAATGAAATGAAACTCCATTCCCTGTTAGTAGATAAAGTGCAAAATCAAAAACCAAGCAAATATTTTAACAAGGAATCCAAATCTGGGAACATGTATATTATATAACTGCATAAATGGATATGATGTAAAGACATGTCTTCCTGTTGGGTACATGTACGTCTTGTATGTCTACATACATGGATGCCATGTAAAGACATGTCTTCCTGTTGGGTACATGTACGTCTTGTATGTCTACATACATGGATGCCATGTAAAGACACATCTTCCTGTTGGGTACATGTATGACTTGTATGTCTACATACATGGATGCCATGTAAAGACATGTCTTCCTGTTGGGTACATGTACATCTTGTATGTCTTCATACATGGATGCCATGTAAAGACATGTCTTCCTGTTGGGTACATGTACGTCTTGTATGTCTACATACATGGATGCCATGTAAAGACATGTCTTCCTGTTGGGTACATGTACGTCTTGTATGTCTACATACATGGATGCCATGTAAAGACATGTCTTCCTGTTGGGTACATGTACGTCTTGTATGTCTACATACATGGATGCCATGTAAAGACATGTCTTCCTGTTGGGTACATGTACGTCTTGTATGTCTACATACATGGATGCCATGTAAAGACACATCTTCCTGTTGGGTACATGTACGACTTGTATGTCTACATACATGGATGCCATGTAAAGACATGTCTTCCTGTTGGGTACATGTACGTCTTGTATGTCTACATACATGGATGCCATGTAAAGACATGTCTTCCTGTTGGGTACATGTACGTCTTGTATGTCTTCATACATGGATGCCATGTAAAGACATGTCTTCCTGTTGGGTACATGTACGTCTTGTATGTCTTCATACATGGATGCCATGTAAAGACATGTCTTCCTGTTGGGTACATGTACGTCTTGTATGTCTTCATACATGGATGCCATGTAAAGACATGTCTTCCTGTTGGGTACATGTATGACTTGTATGTCTACATACATGGATGCCATGTAAAGACATGTCTTCCTGTTGGGTACATGTACGTCTTGTATGTCTTCATACATGGATGCCATGTAAAGACATGTCTTCCTGTTGGGTAAATGTACGTCTTGTATGTCTACATACATGGATGCCATGTAAAGACGTCTTCCTGTTGGGTACATGTATGTCTGGATATTTTTTGACAATTAAGGTATACTGCATATTTTATTACTGTAAGAGTTGTTATAATTAATTTTTGAGATCTGTATGTACACTTCTGTAAGGAAAAGCTGATTATTTTCTAAGATCTGTATTGTACACATTGTAGGGGAAAGTGGAATATCCAGTATTTAGCGTCAGATATGGAGAGAAAAATACTGGGGTCCTCGCAAAAAGGCCTACAGCACCTGAAAATATATAAAGATATCATTAAACAAGAAACCACAAGCTAACTCTAGAGAGGAAGAATTTCGGTGAAATAACTGGAGAAAAGCCGGAAAAATGCATGTTTCTACACATAAACCCCAAGCTCATAAATAAAGATAATTTATTTCCGTGAAATAGCTGGAGAATATGTTTTTCTACGTCAAAATGTATGACAGTATTGATCATGTACACCAAGTGTTTTAAAGTCCGTTAAGAAGGATTATGATAAATTCCTCTCAAATTCTTGCACAGTCAATGGCGCTCTGGTCTGTTTAATACATGAACATAGTTTTGAATTCTGTTGGCAAGCTGTGGCTGTGCCTTCAGCAAGGACCTTTCACCTTTCTAGCTCAACTGAAGCTACCCATAGCGGGCAATTTTTTCATGCTTAACATGAGATTTACCACCTTCCCATCTACACCAGAACTGAAAACCTTGCAAACTTTGGGCAAGGATTATTTGGAAGAAATGTAAACTATATTATCAAAATAAAACTAGTGGATTGAATAACAGATATTGCTTTTTAGACCTTCAGTAATGAAAATGTATATTTATTTCACCCAAGGAAATATTCTCTTTCTGTTGTTCAATATTCAAATTATACAATAAACACCAATCTGTATGAGACCTAATAGACCTGTATGAATCTTCTGGACAGCATTAAATCTAAATTTTTAATCCAGTGTATATGATGGAAGTTTCAACCAATCCTGTATTGAGCAGTTGATTATTCTGACAGTATGAGGTCACATTTTAACAGCTGAATACCAAAAACGGTCGAGGGTTTCTATGGTTTCTGACGTAGTCCCTAATAACGGGGGGTGGTGACACAACGTCCCGCAAACATCAAAATCAAGAAATTCCTTCCGGGAACAGCCGTAGATCCAAAAGGATACCCTAATAGTTAGTGCCAAAGGTCAACCCTTTGCCTAGTTTTATGTGCTATGTATATTTATATCTATAATGTGTACTATGTATCTGTTCATTGTATATTCTAACTTACTGCTGCTTTTAAGGCTTGGTCAAGGTCAGCCAACAGGTCAGCTTCGTCCTCTAGACCAACAGACAGTCGGATGAGATTGTCAGAGATCCCCAGCTGGTCTCGTTCCTCAATAGGTACTGAGGCATGTGTCATCACAGAACTGAGGAAAAATACAATAATACCTCTGTCATTAATATCACTGATAGAAATCTCATAAGGCATCAATGACTTGTCTAGAATTGTACACAGATAACTTGTACTAATACAAGTTTTGTACACTGATAACTTGTACTAATACAAGTTTTGTACACTGATAACTTGTACTAATACAAGTTTTGTACACTGATAACTTGTACTAATACAAGTTTTGTACACTGATAACTTGTACTAATACAAGTTTTGTACACTGATACAAGAACTGTACAATGATAACTTGTACTAATACAAGTTTTGTACACTGATAACTTGTACTAATACAAGAATTGTACACTGATAACTTGTACTAATACAAGTTTTGTACACTGATAACTTGTACTAATACAAGAATTGTACACTGATAACTTGTACTAATACAAGAATTGTACACTGATAACTTGTACTAATACAAGAATTGTACACTGATAACTTGTACTAATACAGGAACTGTACACTGATAACTTGTACTAATACAAGATGGTACATTGATAACTTGTACTAATACAAGAATTGTACACTGATAACTTGTACTAATACAGGAACTGTACACTGATAACTTGTACTAATACAAGATGGTACATTGATAACTTGTACTAATACAAGATGGTACACTGATAACTTGTATTAGAATGGTACACTTATGAATTGCACTAGTATAAGAAGTGTACACTATACACTATATGGTGTATAATGTACCTCCACTGATATCAGTCAGCTTATCTCAATGGAGATCATGTCCATGATCATACTTACGGAAGTTCTGCTAAACTCTCAAAACCTCCTAAACTTTCTGCCAGGGTGAAAACCTGTAAAATAGTGTAAGAAAATCAAAGTCTGAATAACACAAGAAAATATCTGTAAGACACATGCCCAAGTTGGTGTTAAAATATCATGAGGTGTATATGAACTAAATCTGAGAGGTTCTTAAGATTTGACATTGGTTCTGAAATACAACAAGACATAACAGGACAGCCAGATGGACATGAGTTACCATGTTTGCCCCCACCTCCAACTGGCAGGGGGATTTATAACTGAATATAAAGGAATAAAAAATACATATTACTGCTGAGCACTTCCCCTCCCCACCCCCAACCCAACCCCCCACTACCCCCAACCCCTACCCCCATCACAGCATTCTAACCTGGTTGTTCTCCATGATAATCCACAGCTCTACAAACTGAGACAAAGGAGCATGCTCTGTCAGCTGAGTGAGAGACAGACACCATATTCAACACTATGTACAAGCTATAAAGGTCGGACTTTTTAAGCTGTGCAGCAGATAAAGTAAAGCTGCTGCTAGTATCATGGCATTTTTAAATTTTTAAAATTGTTTAAATTGAAATTGTTTGACAGAATATTAGCTCTCGGCCGAGATAAACTTATCTGTAACACATACAGGTAACAAGTTCTACTAACCTAGGTACAATTTTATTACCTTGAGACTTTTCAGGAAGGTTGACGCCTCATTCAGTCCTCCTTGAATGTAAAATGTGACCATACCACTGAACCCCCTCATTTGTTTCTTGGCTAGTTCATGCTGAGGGTGAGACGGCAGGCCTGAAAATACAACAGAAAAAAATTGATGGAACAGGCGCCGTTTCTAAAAGTCTACATTTAGTAAAACCTGTGCACCTATTGTGTTGTAGATTCAGTCCATTCATTAAGTGCTCCACCAGACACTTGAATGTGTGAAGCCCTGTATAGGTGCCCGGCAGTTGGCTTGTAGAGGGTGAGAAGATTTTTTATGCGTGTTTTTCAGTATGTATACTAGTTTCATGCCTACATTGGTACAAACCTGGATGGATAACTTTGTCCACACAACGATGGGCTTCTAGGAATTTAGCAACAGCCAAGCCATTTTTCATGTGTTCCTTCATCCTAACATGGAGGGTCTTCAGGCCTCTGTTTACCAAGAAACAATCAAATGGGGATGGGATTGGTCCAAACGCTTGAGAAAAATAAATAATAAATATAATAAATAAATTCAACCGAAAGAAAGGAAAATGAAGGCACATGTAGATACATCGAACACATCCCGAACAGGAGAAGTGTCACAATGGCCATGATCAATGAAATGAAATATAAACCTTTCTGTTATTGAAAAACTGTTATTAAAATTCAAATGAAAGAGCTGAGGAAAATATAGAGTGAACTAAGTATGAACTAAATCTGTTGCGGAGATCCAAGATAACAAGCATAAAAGCTTTTTATAAAGGGTGAATGTACAGACAAAGTTCTTCTTTGCCAAGATGACTTACGTAAATGTACAAAATCATGTGGAATATTGCTAAAAACTCACCATTTTGCAGGAATCTGAGTTGCTCAGCATGAGAATCACTGTTAGTGGCCAGTGCTCCCATCACAGAATCAGAGTGGCCTGGAAAATAAAGAGATTAAATAGGCACCAAGTGATCTCTCTAATATGTCCCTCTGTTATTGACAGGTGACCTCTGTACCTAATATGTACCTGTTATAGACAGGTGACCTCTGTACCTAATATGTACCTGTTATATAGACAGGTGACCTCTGTACCTAATATGTACCTGTTATATAGACAGGTGACCTCTGTACCTAATATGTATCTATTATATTGACAGGTGACCTCTGTATCTAATATGTACCTGTTATATAGACAGGTGATCTCTGTATCTAATATGTACCTGTTATATAGACAGGTGACCTCTGTACCTAATATGTACCTGTTATATAGGCAGGTGACCTCTGTACCTAATATGTACCTGTTATATAGACAGGTGACCTCTGTACCTAATATGTACCTGTTATATAGACAGGTGACCTCTGTACCTAATATGTACCTGTTATATAGACAGGTGACCTCTGTACCTAATATGTACCTGTTATATAGACAGGTGACCACTGTACCTAATATGTACCTGTTATATAGACGGGTGACCTCTGTACCTAATATGTACCTGTTATATAGACGGGTGACCTCTGTACCTAATATGTACCTGTTATATACACAGATGACCTCCTTACTTAGTACCTTGTGTGTAAATGTCCTATAGACAGGTGACATCAGTACCTAGAAATTGTACTGCAGTAAGCCATACCATGATACAGTAAGCCTTACCATGATACATTGAGCCTTACCATGATACAGTATGCCTTACCATGATACAGTATGCCTTACCATGATACAGTATGCCTTACCATGATACAGTGAGCCTTACCATGATACAGTAAGCCTTACCATGATACATTGAGCCTTACCATGATACAGTAAGCCTTACCATGGTACAGTAAGCCTTACCATGAAACATTGAGCCTTACTATGATACAGTTTACGCCTTACCACGGTACAGTAAGCCTTACCATGATACAGTAAGCCTTACCATGATACAATAAGCCTTTCCATGATACAGCAAGTATTACCATAGTACATTGAGTCTTACCATAATTCATTGAGCCTTACCATGATACAGTAAGCCTTGCCATGATACAGTAAGCCTTACCATGAAACATTGAGCCTTACCATGATACAGTAAGCCTTACCATGATACAGTAAGCCTTGCCATGATACAGTAAGCCTTACCATGAAACATTGAGCCTTACCACAGTACAGTAAGCCTTACCATGATACAATAAGCCTTGCCATGATACAGTAAGCCTTACCATGAAACATTGAGCCTTACCATGATACAGTAAGCCTTACCATGATACAGCAAGTCTTACCATAATTCACTGAGTCTTACCATGATACAGTAAGCCTTACCACGGTACAGTAAGCCTTACCATGAAACATTGAGCCTTACCATGATACAGTTTACGCCTTACCATGAAACATTGAGCCTTACCATGATACAGCAAGTCTTACCATAGTACATTGAGTCTTACCATAATTCATTGAGTCTTACCATGATATAGTAAGCCTTACCATTCATATACTTGGTCAGGGAATGCATCACGATATCTGCTCCTAAACATAATGGCCTCTGTAAAATAGATTGAATTAGCATTACAAACCTACCTTAGTTACAAAATTACAATATCTGTTCCTAAAATGAACAGCCTTAGTTACAACATCATGATATCTGCTCCTAAATTTAAACATCTTAGTTACAACATCATGATATCTGCTCCTAAATTTCAGATCTAAGTTACAACATAATGACATCTGCTCCTAAATTTCAGACCTTATTTACAACATAATGATATCTGCTCCTAAATTTAAAGCGACTATAACGTTAAAAAACACTACAAGAAAATGATATAAAATGTTCTATTTTCCAATAGTATGTTACAAAACTAAGACTTTCTGTTAATTACTATCACTGCAACCATTTTTTTATTGATATCTAAAAAATAAAGAATGTAAACATTGTGGTCCTGATCTAATTCATACATTACAGTAACCGTAACCCTAATGCTGCATATGCGTGTATGCCTAGATAGAAGCAATATGGCCGACACAAATACGAAAAAGCTATGAGGACCTAAAAGTCACCTTACAGAAAGTGTTAGAAAGCGTAAGAGGGAGGAGTCGGACCAGAAAAGAGGACAGACAAGAATTTATATAAGACAGGAGATTAATATATGGCTAAAGATGACGGAGGATCTTGGACTGAATACGGATTCAGATTTTGCGAAGCTGCTGCTCGACTAGTTAGCTTAACGTCAGCCCTGTAATTATAACGTATCCGCCTGTCACTGATTATAATCCAATATCCAGTGTTTGACGTGTGAATATGTAATCAACAACACTACGAAAAGTGTTATCTGATAAAATGTTGAATGAAAATTGTTGTGTTATTCACTTGAATTTACAATTGGGGGTATTCGTTTTAAGTGTAAAAATATGACGGTACTGGTGTTACTGTAAGAATAACAACCGTGATGATAAACATAGCCTTCATAATAAACAGTGCAATATCTATTAGTGTGTACAGAAAAGTATCAATTCCTGTGCATTTCTGCACAATAAGTTTTTTCTTTTCCGATTGTAATTACCCCCTTTGGGACCCCACTAGTTTAGTGCCCACGATTGACATAGAAAATTCTCACACGACAAAGCCAAAACAAAATGAATTTCTCAGATTGATAGTTAAAAATTATATATTACAGTGAAACCTCACCTAACGACCACCCCGCTATTACGGGCACTTTTTTCAGTCCCGTTTTTTTCCACAATATATCTTTGTATTGGTCGCTTCAGTATTACCACCATCCCGCTATTCCGTATTACGACTATTTCTTATAGTCCCAATGACCACTAATTAACGATAATTGACCTCACAATTACGACCAAGTTCTGACCAGTGATTAAAGTTTACCTGGTGGGCCGTGAACCGCAAGCATGTGAGTCGTTCTCGACCATTGTTTTCGTCACAGGTTACCGAACCTGTCACCAGGTGGCGGTACACGAAGTAAACATCATTATCGGATTAACTTGTGTGAAACTACATGACATACACGTTTTAATAGCGATCTATTGTTTGTTAATTATATATTGATATATCATTTTATTCAATGGTTACAATAGTAAATATACATGTACATTATGATATAAACTAAGGAATATATTCGTGTAAATTCTTTTGTCAATTCATCAATTATATATTTTTTACATGTATTTAATAAAATTCAACATTTTATATACAGTCTAGTTATTATTGTTGAATAATATACAGGCACATTACTTAATGATATATATAGTCTATATTTCAAGCAGAGTTACTGCTCTTTGCGGTCAATCAGATCCACCTCACTATTAAGACCACCTCGCTATTAAGACCACTTTTGTCCATAGAATCATTTACTGCATATAAGAATTAGCAGAAAGGCGCAAAAGCAAGTGTCATACATGAGACATGTGCGTTTGTTTACCTCGTAATCTATTTTTTCTTTGAGGCGGAAGTAAATGACTTTGTCACGTGACAAGCCATGTGACCCACTCGGCTTTCTTCGTAATCAACTAAGCATTAACATGTTTATAAACAATAGTCAAGATAAACAATGTTCCGACGCCGAAAATATGTACAAAAACAACAAATTTGACGCTTTATTATGGATATATTTTATTACTCATAAGCTGAATTCTACATTTCCGGATGTTGAAATCTAAGGTAATAGCCTGTAACTAATGTTGGGAACTGGTTATGATGTCATATTTGATGGCTGGTTCTGTGTGACCCATTATCAGTTATAACTAGTTCTAAATACCCTGATTATGTACAGACTTTATCAAATAATCACCTACAAAATAAACATGATAAAACAGATATTTGTTGTGTTATTGATTTAAACCAATGAGCTTTCAGAGAACACCATACAGCTTTCCTAATGATGACAATTAACAACCAACTGCCCCTTTCCTGATCCAGTTCTATTTAGCAAACAATTTGCTCCCACAATGCACAAAAAAAAATTACCCCTTAAGGGCTTCAAGGAGTCTTAATAAAAGACAGTTCTGACCTCTATGAAGTCTTGTGCATAGAGTCTAAAATAAAGACAGTTCTGACCTCTATGAAGTCTTGTGCATAGAGTCTAAAATAAAGACAGTTCTGACATCTATGAAGTCTTGTGCATAGAGTCTAAAATAAAGACAGTTCTGACCTCTATGAAGTCTTGTGCATAGAGTCTAAAATAAAGACAGTTCTGACCTTGTTGAAGTCATGTGCATAGAGTCTAAAATAAAGACCGTTCTGACATCTAGGAAGTCTTGTGCATAGAGTCTAAAATAAAGACAGTTCTGACCTCGTTAAAGTCTTGTGCATAGAGTCTAAAATAAAGACAGTTCTGACCTCGTTGAAGTCTTGTGCATAGAGTCTAAAATAAAGACAGTTCTGACCTTGTTGAAGTCATGTGCATAGAGTCTAAAATAAAGACTGTTCTGACATCTAGGAAGTCTTGTGCATAGAGTCTAAAATAAAGACAGTTCTGACCTCGTTAAAGTCTTGTGCATAGAGTCTAAAATAAAGACAGTTCTGACCTCGTTGAAGTCTTGTGCATAGAGTCTAAAATAAAGACAGTTCTGACCTCTAGGAAGTCTTGTGCATAGAGTCTAAAATAAAGACAGTTCTGACCTTGTTGAAGTCATGTGCATAGAGTCTAAAATAAAGACCGTTCTGACATCTAGGAAGTCTTGTGCATAGAGTCTAAAATAAAGACAGTTCTGACCTTGTTGAAGTCATGTGCATAGAGTCTAAAATAAAGATCGTTCTGACATCTAGGAAGTCTTGTGCATAGAGTCTAAAATAAAGACAGTTCTGACCTTGTTGAAGTCTTGTGCATAGAGTCTAAAATAAAGACAGTTCTGACCTCTATGAAGTCTTGTGCATAGAGTCTAAAATAAAGACAGTTCTGACCTTGTTGAAGTCATGTGCATAGAGTCTAAAATAAAGACCGTTCTGACATAGATAGAGTCTAAAATAAAGACAGTTCTGACCTTGTTGAAGTCATGTGGATAGAGTCTAAAATAAAGACCGTTCTGACCTCTATGAAGTCTTGTGCATAGAGTCTAAAATAAAGACAGTTCTGACCTCGTTGAAGTCTTGTGCAAAGAGTCTAAAATAAAGACAGTTCTGACCTCGTTGAAGTCTTGTGCATAGAGTCTAAAATAAAGACCGTTCTGACCTCGTTGAAGTCTTGTGCATAGAGTCTAAAATAAAGACAGTTCTGACCTCTGAAGTCTTGTGCATAGTCTTGTGCATAGAGTCTAAAATAAAGACAGTTCTGACCTTGTTGAAGTCATGTGCATAGAGTCTAAAATAAAGACCGTTCTGACATCTAGGAAGTCTTGTGCATAGAGTCTAAAATAAAGACAGTTCTGACCTTGTTGAAGTCATGTGCATAGAGTCTAAAATAAAGACAGTTCTGACCTTGTTGAAGTCATGTGGATAGAGTCTAAAATAAAGACAGGAAGTCTTGTGCATAGAGTCTAAAATAAAGACAGTTCTGACCTCGTTGAAGTCTTGTGCATAGAGTCTAAAATAAAGACCGTTCTGACCTCGTTGAAGTCTTGTGCATAGAGTCTAAAATAAAGACAGTTCTGACCTTGTTGAAGTCATGTGCATAGAGTCTAAAATAAAGACCGTTCTGACATCTAGGAAGTCTTGTGCATAGAGTCTAAAATAAAGACAGTTCTGACCTCTATGAAGTCTTGTGCATAGAGTCTAAAATAAAGACAGTTCTGACCTCTATGAAGTCTTGTGCATAGAGTCTAAAATAAAGACAGTTCTGACCTCTATGAAGTCATGTGCATAGAGTCTTAAATAAAGACAGTTCTGACCTCTAGGAAGTCTTGTGCATAGAGTCTAAAATAAAGACAGTTCTGTCTAAAATAAAGACAGTTCTGACCTTGTTGAAGTCATGTGCATAGAGTCTAAAATAAAGACAGTTCTGACCTTGTTGAAGTCATGTGGATAGAGTCTAAAATAAAGACCGTTCTGACCTCTATGAAGTCTTGTGCATAGAGTCTAAAATAAAGACAGTTCTGACCTCGTTGAAGTCTTGTGCATAGAGTCTAAAATAAAGACAGTTCTGACCTCTATGAAGTCTTGTGCATAGAGTCTAAAATAAAGACAGTTCTGACCTCTATGAAGTCTTGTGCATAGAGTCTAAAATAAAGACAGTTCTGACCTTGTTGAAGTCTTGTGCATAGAGTCTAAAATAAAGACAGTTCTGACCTCTATGAAGTCTTGTGCATAGAGTCTAAAATAAAGACAGTTCTGACCTTGTTGAAGTCATGTGCATAGAGTCTAAAATAAAGACCGTTCTGACATCTAGGAAGTCTTGTGCATAGAGTCTAAAATAAAGACAGTTCTGACCTTGTTGAAGTCATGTGCATAGAGTCTAAAATAAAGATCGTTCTAACATCTAGGAAGTCTTGTGCATAGAGTCTAAATAAAAGACAGTTCTGACCTCTATAAAGTCTTGTGCATAGAGTCTAAAATAAAGACCGTTCTGACCTCTATGAAGTCTTGTGCATAGAGTCTAAAATAAAGACAGTTCTGACCTCTATGAAGTCTTGTGCATAGAGTCTAAAATAAAGACAGTTCTGACCTCTATGAAGTCATGTGCATAGAGTCTAAAATAAAGACCGTTCTGACCTCTAGGAAGTCTTGTGCATAGAGTCTAAAATAAAGACAGTTCTGACCTCTATGAAGTCTTGTGCATAGAGTCTAAAATAAAGACAGTTCTGACCTCTATGAAGTCTTGTGCATAGAGTCTAAAATAAAGACAGTTCTGACCTCGTTGAAGTCTTGTGCATAGAGTCTAAAATAAAGACAGTTCTGACCTCTAGGAAGTCTTGTGCATAGAGTCTAAAATAAAGACAATTCTGACCTCTATGAAGTCTTGTTCAAGAAGCCTAACATAAAGACAGTTCTGACCTCTAGGAAGTCTTGTGCATAGAGTCTAAAATAAAGACAATTCTGACCTCTATGAAGTCTTGTTCAAGAAGCCTAACATAAAGACAGTTCTGACCTTTAGGAACTGTCCCGTCCAATTATTACACCTTCTGGTTACTACCACTGTCCCATTTACCCTTGACACTTACCTGAAAGTAAGACGACATGAATGTGTTATCCACAACCACAAAGATATCTTTGTTCACGGCCTTGACCACACTGACCACTGCCTCAATGTCCACAAGCTGCATGGTAGGGTTGGTAGGTGTCTCCATCCAGACCATCTACAACACACAGAAGAATGGATTAGAATAATACCTTCTTCAAAACATTTATAAACCTCTGAATGAATCAGATCTCTTCACTTCCATTTGCCATGTTTAACAGTTACACTGTAGTATTACAGGCCTGGTGACCTGTAGACCTACCTCAGTGATGGGTCTGATTGTATTACAGGCCTGGTGACCTGTAGACCTACCTTAGAAGTGGGTCTGATTGTATCACAGGCCTGGTGACCTGTAGACCTACCTCAGTATTGGGTCTGATTGTATCACAGGCCTGGTGACCAGTAGACCTACCTTAGTGTTGGGCCTGATCGCAGCTGAAACATTCTTTGGCACAGTACAATCCACAAATGATGTCTCAATTCCCATTCTTGAAGCTACTTTCTTAAAGTATCTGTTAGTTCCTGTAGGAGATAGATCGGCCAATACAGTAAGTTTAAATCACAAGCAGTATATCATGTAGTTCTCTTAATGAAAATGATACAGCAAACTTGCCAGCTTGGTTACCTCTTTGTAGTTTAATGTAGTAGAACACAAAAACCACTACATATTTTGAATGTAAGTATCAAGTTCATCTTTGACAAATACTCACTATTGGCCCTGAATCTCTATCAATCACAGTTCATGAAAATTATGATATCATGGCGACAGATATTCAGTGATCATGTTGCCATGGTAATGCAGGATGTATCAATATGATGCAATGATAACATGCATACAAATTAACTGCTATTGTCACAATAATGTGAACCAATTTTCTTTCATTTGTGATTTTCTTTCATGAATTTCAAAAATAAATAAAAACTGCCAATATTGCAGCAAATTAAAAACATGAATAATACATGTAAACATATGGATAATTAGTACTCACTTATTGATCAATAAAACAGGACTATTTACCTTAGGCACATTTTACCCTGAATTTGTGTGTACAATTTCTTACACTAGTTTGGGAAATCTGTTGTTAATTTCAGTGTCAAGGAGGATTTAGTTCCTTGAGTGTCTATTAATAGTCAGGTAAAACGGCTTAAATTTAATAACTGGATCACCTTCAAACCATACAGGTTTTGAATGAAGAATCATACAATCACGGTGGTGATTTGTATTTGTGAAAGTCAGTGGCTACGAAAGAAGAAGTACTCAAATGTTACAGATGACCGTTGTTTATGTTACCATGGTAACTTCCAACACAATATTACAGATGTCCAACGTTCATGTTGCTAAGGTAACCTCCAGCATAATGATTCAGATGTATGCAACGTTTATGTTACCATGGTAACCTCAGACACTATGTTACCGAAGTTTGCAATGATTATGTTACCATGGTAACCTCCGACACTATGTTACAGATGTCCAATGTATGTATGCCTCCATGTAAATCTTTCTTTTGTTCATATTTTGCCCTAATTATTTTGGATATGAGTTTGGATTATGATTATATTGCCAACTGGTATTTTATCTTTATTGCCATGGTATCGTCAGGTACACTTATTGAACCATCAAGATCAAGTCTAACTTGGTTCTATCGTGAACTTCCTACTTCTGAACCAACAAATCAAACCATCAATATCGAGTATTTACAATATTAAAAAGATGGCTTTAACCTGTATAGCTAGAATACCACATATCTTTGATTTATATTAATATAGTGTAGACAGATAACTTCTGTTGATGTAACCATGGTGACCGCATGTTCTGAAGATGTATTGAAGTATACACAGTTTGTAAATAAAACTTTACCTCCATACAGATCATTCATACTGACGATATGATCCCCTTGCTTAAGTAGGTGAGTGATTGCAGTAGTAGTGGCCAGACCTGAGGCAAACACCATTCCTGTAATATAAAAACACCATTCCTGTAATATAAACACACCATCCCTGTAATACAAAAACTCCATTTCTGTTATATAAACACACCATTCCTGTAATATAAACACACCATTCCTGCAACACAAAAACACCATTCCTGTTATATTAACACACCATTCCTGTAATATAAACACACCATTCCTGTAATATAAACACACCATTCCTGTAATACAAAAACACCATTCCTGTAATACAAAAACACCATTCCTGTAATATTAACACACCATTCCTGTAATATAAACACACCATTCCTGTAATATAAAAACACCATTCCTGTAATATAAACACACCATCCCTGTAATACAAAAACACCATTTCTGTAATACAAAAACACCATTCCTGTAATATAAACACACCATTCCTGTAATATAAACACACCATTCCTGTAATATAAACACACCATTCCTGTAACACAAAAACACCATTTCTGTTATATAAACACACCATTTCTGTAATATAAACACACCATTCCTGTAATACAAAAACACCATTCCTGTAATATAAACACACCATTTCTGTTATATAAACACACCATTCCTGTAATATAAACACACCATTCCTGTAATATAAACACACCATTCCTGTAATATAAACACACCATTCCTGCAACACAAAAACACCATTCCTGTTATACTAACACACCATTCCTGTAATATAAACACACCATTCCTGTAATACAAAAACACCATTCCTGTAATATAAACACACCATTCCTGTAATATAAACACACCATTCCTGTAATACAAAAACACCATTCCTGTAATATAAACACACCATTCCTGTAATATAAACACACCATTTCTGTTATATAAACACACCATCCCTGTAATACAAAAACACCATTTCTGTAATATAAACACACCATTCCTGTAATACAAAAACACCATTCCTGTAATATAAACACACCATTCCTGTAATATAAACACACCATTCCTGTAACACAAAAACACCATTTCTGTTATATAAACACACCATTCCTGTAATATAAACACACCATTCCTGTAATACAAAAACACCATTTCTGTAAATTCCTGTAATATAAATACACCATTCCTGTTATATAAATACACCATTCCTGTAATACAAAAACACCATTTCTGTAATACAAAAACACCATTTCTGTAATATAAATACACCATTCCTGTTATATAAACACACCATTCCTGTAATATAAATACACCATTCCTGTTATATAAACACACCATTCCTGTAATATAAACACACCATTCCTGTAATATAAACACACCATTCCAATATAAACACACCATTCCTGTAATATAAAAACACCATTCCTGTAATATAAACACACCATTCCTGTAATACAAAAACACCATTTCTGTAATATAAATACACCATTCCTGTTATATAAATACACCATTCCTGTAATACAAAAACACCATTTCTGTAATATAAATACACCATCCCTGTTATATAAATACACCATTTCTGTTATATAAACACACCATTCCTGTAATATAAACACACCATTTCTGTTATATAAATACACCATTTCTGCCATCAGTAAATAAATTGCCTTACTGTTATACAAACACACTGTTTCTAACATCCTTCTCCAATCAACATTGATGACCCAGGTAGACAAAATTGACCATTGCACTACCTTCACACATTTACTTCCTCTGTTTCATGTCAATAGCCATGCTGTAGTTTTATTTGTATACTCAACAGAAAAAGAAACACAAAATTAAATCACACAATCACTAGCCATTGATATTTTGGGAAATGTGTATAAAATTTTGTATCAATGTGAAGAGAAAAGTCTACTCTTTATAATACTGTAGAAGAAAAAGTCTGTGTGACATCACTTGTGTCGTCAGTAGTTACACAAAGTAGGATACCCGCAAAAAACAAATTGACACTTCAGTACCTGGTGGGGGTACCTCTTGCACGAATCCCTGCATGGATTCTCCTACACATTGAATTCATGAGAACATTTATTTGCTTTAAGGGAATGTTATTCCAAGCTTGTGTTAATGCTGCGATCAACTGGGCGTGGTTAGCTGGGGGCGTTTTGACCTTTTTTTTAATACACCCCTCCAGCTCATCCCACAGATGGTCAATGGGAGATATGTCGGGGCTATATGGGGGCCATTCCAGAGGCTGAATGTTGTTTGCCATGAGAAAATCACAACACTCTGGCAACATGAGGTCAAGCAATGGAAAATTTGGTTATGACGTCCGAGAAGTGGAAGGACATATGGTTGGACGATCTGGTCTCTGTATCAAAGGGCAAAGAGGTTTGGATCCAGGACCACTATGGGGGATTTAACTCCACGGAAGATGCCTCCCCAAACCATTACAGAAGCCCTACCATATCTATCACCTTTAACCAGGCATGCATCGGTGAAACACTCACCATGTCAGTGATATACCCTTTTTCTTCCATTTGGGTGATACAGACAGAATCTAGACTAGTCAGTGAACATCACATGCCTCCACGGACGCATCCCAAACAAATTAGGGCCATGTCTGCGCATTTAGTGAAGACCCACTTGCCGCCTCCGTGGTGTCAGAGGTGGCCCGACATAAAGTTGGCATGAAATGATTCTCTCAGCGTGCAAGTGGTACTGGGCAGTTTGAGCACTAATGAATACGACACAAGTACCTAAGGTATGCAACACAGTCTCTACAGAAGTCTTGAATCTGTGTTGTACAAATGCGACAATCAAATCGCCCTGTCTTGTTGTGGGATTGTTACACACAGACAACCGCTCCAGGGACAATAGGAAATAACCCAGTAGCATGGAAAATTGTATAGGACGGTTAATTGCACACTGGGCACCGCCAAACTGCCTTGAGACAGCAGCTTAGCTATGACCATCCATCAACATCGCAATTGCTCTACCCCTCTGAATTTGCATTAAGCGTGGCGTCTCGGTCAATAACAAAATCAAAATGCCAACATGGAAAATGAAAGTGGACAAAGTTAAAAGTATCTGTTTAAATTGTTTGTTTGAAAAAGTTCGGCTTGGCTTGATTACGCTTCGTGATTTAGACTGAAGAAGCTCACAAAAAGAGACAATGACATTTACACACTTGGCTGATTTTAGGGTAGATTGTCGAGAAGGACGATCATTCTTGACGTAATACCAGACCAAATATTCCATTATTTCCTTACAGGTAAAGTGTACTGCATGAAGGAACTTTGTGTGTTTCTTTTTTTGTTGAGTATACTTCAGATCATTTAGTGTAACATAGACAAATTAATTTTTACTCAGGAAAAAAACTGATGTACCCAAGGAGTAAACAGGTAAATCAATTTTCATACATTCATCCCAAAATGCCAGTCAGGCCTACAATTATTCAAAACTATCAAAGTAATTAACATGGAGGTTATCACAAATCAGGTGTAATAAGTTCAAATACATACCATATTTGGCATTTTCTAGAGCAGCGATACATTTTTCTAAACAAGTACGTGTGGGATTTCCACTCCTGGAGTACTCATATCCCTGTAAGGTAGAGAAAACAACACATCAAACATAATACAAGTCCTGATAACAATCTGTAACAACTATCACAAAACCTTTATCCATTCATTTCTAACTGATCTGATTGAAAAATATTCATTTTCTGATAAATTCTGCAGCTTCATTGTTCTAAAGAGATCTGACTTTAACCAAGAAATCAAACAATTACATTACCATTAATACAAAGATCGCCCTAGTTTTGTGTGAAGAGACAATAAATACAGGAATCACACTGTCTTTACTAAGACACATATAGGGTCACATTTGCTTCACTTATATAAAATAGTAAGCACTGTTTCTACTCAATATCTTCCTTATTCCATTATCACATTCTTTGTTTCACACAAACAAAATTAATAAAATTTGGGTCACTAGATCTATATGTATTAAGACAGTTTACATATTTGCATTGGCCTGCAAATATAGAAATAATGTACATATATATAAGAGAAGTTAATAATGACAGGAAAGATGATAGGCTCAGTTGGTCTGTATCATTTTGTAGCTTCCAAATAGAAGACATTATAAGATCTTATTCTGGTAATTTTTATTGTTTAAAAAACTGTTTGTTTCTGTATTGCATGTGAAATAACAAAAATCATGGTCTATTGGTGAGATAGAAGTCAATTCAAGACTTTGCCATGTTTTACCCATGTGTCCATGAGTGTGGATCTAGGTCATTCATTCAAAGCTTTAAACACTTGAAAATCATTTATCCCAGCATGCTATTTACAAACTGACCAGTGTTATGATCCTGAGCTTTATGCTTATACAATGTAAGTTCTGTAAATATTTTTGATCCCATTTGACCCTTGTGACTTTGAAATTAGGCTCAGTTTAATCATAATAATCCTTCTTCCAAGCATACTACAAGCCAAATAACATGACCTTGGGCCATTGGATTGATTGAAGACTTAATATTTGATGTGTCATTGAAAGTGGGTCAAGGTCATGCATATAAACAAACTTAATATTCTTTCATCGTCCAGCATACAACATGCCTGAAAACATTCTAATGAAATTTTTAAACTTTCAACACACCTGATCCCTGGGACCTTGAAAGTGGGTCATGGTCAATTATTTGGAAAAATTTGGTACCCTTTATCTTTCATGTAATTGGTCAAATAACATGTTTTTGAATGTGTTGTTTAAGATGTTGACACTTGTTAGCTATTCTTCCAAGCATGTTACTAGTCAAGCATTATTACACTGAGCAATTTAGTTATTCAGAAGTTGTTTAAATGTATAACTTGACCCATTTTGAGATCAAAAGTGGGTCAAAGACAGATAATTCATTTGAAGGAAGTTGAAAGCCATTCACTCATATAACCCTTTCATTAAATATCTTTACCCTCGACCCCTTAATTAGTTTGACAACAGAATCTGCACCATAACATCAACTCACTAACCATTCGTCATAAATTCACATTTCATTATATCAAAATTTTCTGTCTCTAAAATGATAATTTTATATCAATATTCACATTTAATATTCCTTCATTAATATTTATGTAACAGAGGTCATTTTTCATCTCAATGCCTCCGCTAGGAATCGAACCGGGGACCCCTGGCTTACTAGTCTGATGCTCAACCAATCGAGCTAAAGAGAAGTTCTCTCTAGCCAAGTGGTATATTGCGGCTAGTATTTTACCAGGGTTACATACTACCCCTCCAGGAAATAACTCGTCCTCGAGTTTCCAGGGGTAACAGCGATGCTGGTGGGGCATGGCTAAGTACTATTCCCGAGTCCCTACATGGGCGCCAATAATATCGTCGATCTTGTGTAGTTTTATGCAAAACAAATATTCAATGACCCATACTGTTTTGTTACTTATATATGCGTTGTTTTTATTACAGTTGATCGTCTACGACCCTGATAATATTCATGTGATTAATGAGCCTTATGTTACTTTAGGACCCTTGACCCATTGTTGGGGTAGGTTTTCACTCTGCATATTGTTTGTAGCATAACGTTCTATTAAATGCAGTTTAATGATGTATAACGTACGTGGCTATAGCGCATCGCTATATTCCTTTTTTTTTTTTTTTACAAAGTATTACCCGTTTGTATCCATATACTACAAGTAGATATACATTGTGTATAGTAAACTCCCTTTTGCGATAATGACAGCTGTGATATGATCTATAATGTACATTATGTGTGATATTTAATGTATTGATATGTATTATAAGGGATCGTGCTTATGTGCTTTATGTGTACTATGTTGTAGGGTCTTTATAATTAGATAAACCGAATAAACAACTGGAACCGAAACCGGTGTTCGCCCTCGTTATTTCAACACCTATCAAATTTACATTTACATATGGACATTAATGTATCATTTCGAGACAGAAATTATTAATATTAAATACAAAATGGATAATTTATACCTCGATATTGCTAACAAGGATCAATTAACAGACATTTAAAATACATCGCATAATATACAGTGACAAGACAATGTAGCAGATTGCACTGTGCAAAAATACATAGTAAACGCATGCTTGAGGTAAGGGAGGCTACTCTGCATATCCAAACAATGTAAAAATAGTTCTTACGGAATGTTGACCGGGTCCCTCTTGTTTAAATGTCGTTGACATAGAAATCATAGGAACGACAGCCTTGCATTTCCATTGTTCTGGTTCCTGCCCAGCATGGAGAGCATTTGTGGCAAAATGTTCGAATGGTTTCAAGTTTTCCATGGTGTGCTGTTCCGGGAGATATCGTCGTGTAGCGTGAGGTTAGAGAAAGGGCCTTCACCTTCAAAATCGATAATCTAATCTTTTTTTATGAAAAGTTTAAACAGCACAAAAATGAATTAAAGCTTCGTCAAGTGATTCTAAAATTATCTAGCATCTTTTTTAAAAGACGAAAATGTTTTGTTTTGCGTGATATATGAGAAAATTTCTTATCAGAGGAGTGAAAATGATACGCAACTGCGGTTGATAGTGCATTTGAAGGGGGGCGTGTTCGGGGTGTGTAAAAATGCAACCATGTGATTGGATGGTTTCGTTTTCAGACTGTTACGAAATAGGTTTGATATTTCATCATAATATTATTCACCAAAGTTAATACGTATTGCAGCTGTGACAATGCATTTCCCGTATATTCTCTATTTAATGGTTCTCTGTTACAGAACATTCATAAACGTATTTAACCAGAGACGTGTAATCTATATATAATATACAATGTAATTCAGAGTATGTCTTTGTTGTAACAGATCTTTTTTTACTGTGATATTGAGAACCAATGCTTTTATTATGATTTTTATGTGATACACAAAACACGAGAATGGAGTGTACAGATCCGTTTCAGAACAGAATATCATCACAGTGAGGAAATACAAACATTTCAGGGATGATTTGAGAGCGAGTGTTTTTTTTTTACAAATTAATCCAATATACTTACGATGTATATATATGTGTACATATATACAGGGATGATAATTTCGAAGGTCATTCATTAGCAACTTGAGAAAAATATGGTAAAATAGACCTATGTGGAAATGCTTTAAAATGAAACTAAATATATATTATCACAACGCTAAAAATACTTTCTGAAAAACAGACCCGGGCGGTCAGGCTATTCCTACCTAATGTAGTGGAAGAAGGACACGCCAGGACCAAACTGGTGATCGATCCCAGTGGTGAATCGGTTCAAAATATACAATCATAACTGGTGCCTTTTTTTAAAACTCGACTCATGTTGACACTTGACTTGACTAAAGCTATAAGATCACACACTAAATATGGATACTAGTCTATCAGTCAAATTTACCATCATTAGACAAGCATAGATTTTGTGCCCAAGAAAACTTTTTTTTAAAAATTCACCTAAACCATATAAAGTAATACAAATGTCAAATATAAACACGGAATATAACTTTGACTTGAAGTTCTTTCATATTTTTTTTTCAAATCATTGGCAAAATCAGCCTTATTTATTGATGTTTAACTTATCTTAGTACTGTGTACTATAGAAGAGAAAGTAGTCACGGTCGTGTTCGTGGTACGGAGGGGACACATCAAGATGACGTTATGTAAAAACCTTGTACAGTCGTGTAATGGATTTCTGTTCATTCATCTTTGAATTGATTTTTTTAGTAAATCGTTCGAAAAAATCATAAGAATATGTTTTACTAAAACGTAAAATTATTGTTCATTTGAAACAACGAAGCGATGACTTTCCCAAAAATTGAATTATTTGTATGATATTTAAAGATACGGAGAGGTGAAATATAATGGAAATGTAATTTAAATATACTTCATTTCCGTTTGAGAAACCCTCCCAGCTCTTTTGATTACGGACTTTTCAGAGCAAATTTAGGCAATACAGCTTAATGTACATGCGGCAAAAACCCACGTGAAACCCTTTATTACTAATTTTGTGTTTGTCCTCTGTACGCTCAAAACCGATATTTATAAATAAGACAGTTACAACCTTTCCGTGAGAATTTTATCTTATTTTTATTCATATACGGCGATCCGAAATTAAGCAAAGAGAATAATGTTCTAATTACAAAACAGACAACACGAGCGATGTAATTGAATGTGACTCCCTCTCCCTCTCCCACACACATAACCTTGACATTCATACTGATGGGCCGTTAAGCATACATCATATCGACAGGATGCAAGTTTTAGCAATTGATTAAAAGTTGAAAGAATTTAAAAACGAAACCTGTTGGAATATCACATCTCTTATGGTTTAACGTTTTGTACAGACAATAACGGAAATTCATTCATAAATGCCATGAAAATAAGACACAGTAACAAGCGTTCAAAAAGGACCCCCATCACTGTATAAAACCTCAGTATACCGTAACGAACATAGAACGGCCGCATTCAGTGAAGCGTTTAGGGGTAAAGATAGGAAGAACACTTTTTGGGAGAGCTTTGTTCAGGTTGTTGACTGGCCAGGAAAATCACGTTTGGCTTCTTTTTGAAGACGTGTTTTAAACATGCTTTTGTTTTCTATATCTACAACAGGACAGATCTTAATCGCAGTGTTTCAAATCTATTCATTTCAAAATACATTAATTTAAAAATACCAATGAAATCAGATAGTGAAGTTATGTCGGGCATTGCATTTTGTAAATTGTGGTAGCAAATTTCGGTCTTCATCTCCGTTTAACAAACTTTAAATAATTATTTTCACATTATCACGCTCAACAAACAGTCTTGTGGAATGCCGTTCCTGTTGGTTTCGGTGCAGGAAAAGTCTACCGTATCCAGATCTGATTGGTATATATACAACAGACATGGTCATTAATACGAAAAACAAGCCAGCCTTGAGAGGGGCACAGTTTTCCCCAGGTAAACCAGTAGTCTGTTGGAAGATCTTACCATCAAACTCGACGAAGATATTGCCAATCGGGGATGGGACAATTTGGGACGTATCTTTCGCGAAACACACCATACATAGTATCGCCATTGGAAAGGAAGCTCTTGTAACAAGGTTACGAATACGTTCCTTCAGTTTAGAATTGTGTATGGCAGTGCAGAATGGAAAATCTAATGTTCTCATCGAACGACAACATTTTGCATATCTGATACTGGAATATGCAAGTAGAGTTGAAATTCCGAAAAGAGAAGGCATTGTTCTCGTTTTGATTTACTTTACACTACATATACTTTACAATAACCTGTACTACTATTTAAAGTTTAAACTTTCTATATAATACAGTAGGCGAGATACACCATGGGAATCTGTACAAGTAGTAAGGTAAAGGATTTCCATTCTCACAAAACAATCTGGCATAGCCTAAAATACTATGGAACGATCTCAGTACTTAAAAGTTGAAGGTCAAATTGAGGTCAGGTTTTTGTATGAGTCACTGTCCTTTGTCCAAAAATTCTTATGCTATTTGCTACACAAGGTCATACAGTACTTAAGCTTCCTGATCCATGTATGTGTCATACACCATATATGGACATCAGACTTTGCATGCTTGTTCATGCAAGTTTCAACTCAATCCTGAAGGTAGAACTTTAAAAGTTGCAAATGTACTTTTCAAGTTGGTGGCAATCTTCTCATGACATTGCATACTTCAGCTAAATCCTTTTTCAAAAGAAATATGTTTTTTCCAATATGAAGTCAGTCTTGGATTTCAGAAAAAGTGAGTTTGTCAGCATCACTTTAGAGCCCATTCCTCAAAATTTTCTGGCTTGTTTTTGTTTTTCTTTCAACAGATAATAGCATAATGAAGTCATACAGTAACCATAACCATAATATAATGAGGAAACAAATACCCCAGGCACTTTGAAATATGTTTCAATTTCAAACCTAATTATTGCAACATTTTCCCCCCATCTGTCCACCATGACTGCTATGTTGGATTTTGCACTGGCCTGAGACGGAATCTCTGTCACAACAATGTCAGTATCATTTCATTATCTTTCCTGGCATGTTTCACACAAGGCAGGTATGACTGAACAATTTATCAGGTTATGATGACCTGAAAAGTTGAGACACTGAACATTAAGAAATATTGTAAAAATAACAAAAACATTGTCCAACTTAGTCTGTACATTTACTTAATAAAACAGTCAATGTTAAACTGCAATATTCAACTACACATACATAAAATGTTATTCTGAAAATACAATCTGTCACGTTTTTATCTCAATCATGTAGACTCTCCCGTGTTGAGGTAGACCATCAGATTCATGGTGAGACTTTATCTGACCGTTTATTCTTCTTTCAACATCACATAGCAGCAACACACACTCGAAGCATTCCTTAAAACACCTCAACATTTTATCTCAGGACTCATAAAATCTTTGCATCAATAGACCATAATTTACAAAGTGCATATGATGTTAAACAATGATGAACAAAATCAAGATATATATTTCATTGCAATGAACATCTTCATTTTCTAAATCTGGTAGATTTTAGTAAATCTGTAATGCAGTGTTAGTGTTACTTAATTTTGCAAGATCTAACAGTTTTTACGACTTTCAATAATGTGGGTCGTTTAAACAAACAGAAAAGCACAGGTATTAGACTAATCTCTCACTACACTAATTCTACAATGTCAATTTCATGGAATGAGTGTGATATTGACAGATGACGCTTATACCTGTGATAACATAATACACTTGAAAACATTGAACAATGTCACACAATTGTTTCATGACTCGCTTCTATAACATGGCTCCTGGTCCTTTCTGCTGGTAAAGACCATAGTTATATACTAATGACTTTCAGTGGTTTTATTATTGCGCCCATAATGTAAATAACCTAATAACACAGCACAGCACTTGTCATATATGGTACATATATATTGAGATATGACTAATGAATCTCGTTTCTCATTGGGGGTGAGACAGGGTTAAAACAACCCAGGGGAAAGATTCTTTGGTTGAAAAACTCAAAGACTGATGAGTGACGCCAAATTAAGCTGATATCACCCCATCTCATCCCTGTGGGGGTAAACTATTATTTTTCTCTTACCACTTTAAGTTTCTATATTATCAAATGCCAATCCCCACCTTGGAAAAGTCAGGAAATCCTCCAATATGGTTGTTACTGTTTGTACCAATGTCACCGCTCTGATCATACATGTTACTGTTGGTAACAATGTCACGGCCCTGATCATACATGTTACTGTTGGTAACAATGTCAAGGCCCTGATCATACATGTTACTGTTGGTAACAATGTCACGGCCCTGATCATACATGTTACTGTTGGTAACAATGTCAAGGCCCTGATCATACATGTTACTGTTGGTAAAATGACAAGGCCCTGATCATACATGTTACTGTTGGTAACAATGTCAAGGCTCTGATCATACATGTTACTGTTTATAACAATGTCAAGGCCCTGGTCATACATGTTACTGTTGGTAACATTGACATACCCAGAAAATAAACATGCTACCTTGCAGTAACAATGGCCTTGTTGTGTGTGGTGATATGTTACAATGACTATAGCAGGGCTCCAGTTGTATGCTTTAACACTTACATGTTACAAAGAAAACAATACCATGATGCTGGTCATGTTACATACAGAAAGCTAGCACAAGTACAAGCTGTATATACTCCTGTGTCATACTGATGGCTTATAATATCATAATCTGAATTCAAAATGTACTGATATAATGAAGGTCTTATTTCCTAAAAGTAATTTGTAGTGAAGTAAAATTGAAAAATTGACAGTGAATTAGATCAGATGTTCCTTCTCATTTTGATATCATAATTTTTTATTTATGTCCCCCTGTTTAAAAATAAAACATGGATATTTTTTATCGTTGACCTCACTGTGAACAATTAATAGATATATTAGCAGAATAAAAACCTTGCATCTTTATCTATCTCTGATCAATATATCACTAGAGGTCAGATTGATACAGGTGGGCTACCCTCATTCTGACCCTTACATCACTAGAGGTCAGATTGATACAGGTGGGCTACCCTCATTCTGACCCTTACATCACTAGAGGTCAGATTGATACAGGGAGACTACCCTCATTCTGACCCTTACATCACTAGAGGTCAGATTGATACAGGGAGACTACCCTCATTCTGACCCTAACATCACTAGAGGTCAGATTGATACAGGGAGACTACCCTCATTCTGACCCTTACATCACTAGAGGTCAGATTGATACAGGTGGACTACCCTCATTCTGACCCTTACATCACTAGAGGTCAGATTGATACAGGGAGACTACCCTCATTCTGACCCTTACATCACTAGAGGTCAGATTGATACAGGGAGACTACCCTCATTCTGACCCTTACATCACTAGAGGTCAGATTGATACAGGGAGACTACCCTCATTCTGACCCTTACATCACTAGAGGTCAGATTGATACTGGGAGACTACCCTCATTCTGACCCTTACATCACTAGAGGTTAGATTGATACTGGGAGACTACCCTCATTCTGACCCTTACATCACTAGAGGTCAGATTGATACTGGGAGACTACCCTCATTCTGACCCTTACATCACTAGAGGTTAGATTGATACAGGGAGACTATCCTCATTCTGACCCTTACATCACTAGAAGTCAGATTGATACAGGGATACTACCCTCATTCTGACCCTTACATCACTAGAGGTCAGATTGATACAGGTGGACTACCCTCATTCTGACCCTTACATCACCAGAGGTCAGATTGATACAGGGAGACTACCCTCATTCTGACCCTTACATCACTAGAGGTCAGATTGATACAGGTGGACTATCCTCATTCTGACCCTTACATCACTAGAGGTCAGATTGATACAGGTGGACTATCCTCATTCTGACCCTTACATCACTAAAGGTCAGATTGATACAGGTGAACTACCCTCATTCTGACCCTTACATCACTAGAGGTCAGATTGATAAGGGGAGACTACCCTCATTCTCACCCTTACATACAGGGAGACTTCCCTCATTCTGACCCTTACATCACTAGAGGTCAGATTGATACAGGTGGACTATCCTCATTCTGACTTTTACATCACTAGAGGTCAGATTGATACAGGGAGACTACCCTCATTCTGACCCTTACATCACTAGAGGTCAGATTGATACAGGTGGACTATCCTCATTCTGACCCTTACATCACTAGAGGTCAGATTGATACAGGGAGACTACCTTCATTCTGACCCTTACATCACTAGAGGTCAGATTGATACAGGGAGACTACCCTCATTCTGACCCTTACATCACTAGAGGTCAGATTGATACAGGGAGACTACCCTCATTCTGACCCTTACATCACTAGAGGTCAGATTGATACAAGTCAGTTGAGACTGATACATCTTTGTGTTGAGAAGTAGTAAGTATATATTGATGCCAAGCTGAAAGATTTGATGAAATTTTAGCACAGAGTTATGTCTAAAGGTTAAAAAAGGAGTTAACTTTCCTACTCATATTAATTTGATATTTACCTATGATTCTTTTAAAAAATTTGAAATTTTCCGTTCCCTACTCTTCAAATACAAAATATCAAAATGTCCTAATTTCATGCTTTTTAAATACAAGAGATTAATTACTATATCAAAATACATACTAATTCGTTAATACAACATTAGCCTAACAACAGCAAATTTACAATCTTAAGTATAGAGAGAATTTCAGAAAATAGCAGTGGGGATTACAAGTAGGAAAGATTTCTCCTTGTAATTAATCACAGATCAAACATTCATAATCTACATATATTCATAATTTGGTATCATTTGTGGTCATTTCACAATTTCAAAGTTGATATGTTCATTCAATTTTGACAAAATTTGTTTCCATAATTACATCAAGATATTTCAAAACTAGTTCTGAGAGTTTACCTAACCATTTCATGTAATAGTAAAAAAAATCTTCTTCAAAATCAAGCTAATTAAAAACCGATCAAAGAGTTAAAGAACATGAAAATACAATTGTTGTTGTATCATTACAGGGTTCATCTCCAAGCAGTGACTAAGGTTAAACCAAAATTCATCATGTAACTTGGAATTGTCTTACCGTAAACAAGTCACTGACGATATTGTGTAACTAGAAACAAAATCCATCATTCTATACACCAAGTCAACAAATAAATAATCGGGTCATGAGATATCTTTTTGAACACAACTTCAGACAATTTTTGTGAAGATAATTTGTTTTCAGAATGAAATGATGAGTCATATATAAGGTTAGCCTATATATATCAGTTCCTTACTTTAAACATGGTACAGTACACATAATCTCAGTCCAGTTTGACACAATTTGTTATATATTTCAACTGTTACGTTGCTATCAAACATGTAACACAAAGATTGGAGGGTCCAATACAATCATCATGGCAGAATGCTCCACACTTTTTACACATGATCATAGCTTTCAAGCTACAAGCACAGTTATTGGACACATTGTCCATGGTTGATGGCAAACCAGAACCTGACAATCCTCCTGTGGGCAAAACCACCGATTTACTTGTCTGTGCAGAAACATATGGTACTATGTTACAGTGGACCTTTTTAGCCTGATTGTTGGCAGCTGCTGCAGCAGCAGCCGCTTGACTGTTAGCCTTGTTCTGCACATGGGCCTCAATACTCTTAATGATGTAAGGATTATTCACAATTTGCTTGGCACTGCAAACCACTATTTTTTTCACTCGCTCGGCCGGGGAAACCTTGCCCGGGCCTGCAGAGCCACCACTGTTTGGGGACGGAGCGGTGGCCTCAGGTCGTGATTGTGTTAACATAGTCAGAGGTAACACAGTGGTATGAGGCGTTTTACGACCTGGAGCAGTAGCAGTGCCAGTCTTGGATAAAAAATTCACCTGATCTGGAGAAATTACACGCACTTCCTGATTGACAGGTTCTAGAGGGTTTGGGGTAATTACTGTCCCATCTGCTTCTGTGGATACTTGACCTCCAGCACTAGCAGACCTCACCAGAGTTTGAACATTGGAGTTGACAAGAAGATTCTGTGGGGGAGCACTTGCAGCACGAGAGGGCTGGATACTAATTGTGTTATTTCCTGCCTGATGGGCATTGAGAATCTGTGCTAGGCTAGATGGAGTTACTGCTGAGGTTGGAATACCAGCAGGCAGCAACACTTTTGTATTGGACCCTGGCAATGTCAGCACAGTGGCAGTTTGTGAAACTGTTGATCGGAGAGCTGTGTTTTGGGGCAATGTCAAAACCAACGATGTATCATTGTTGACGCTGGATAAACCCTGCACGCCAGTTCCTACAGTTCTAACCTTAGCTATGTTGACCATCACAGGAGAGCTTACTGTCTGGCCTTGCAATGTTTGCTCACTAGATGAAGTGCCACTAGTTGACACATTGGAAAACAGAAGCTTTGAGGCACTTAACTGACCTTGTCCCGTCACACTTATCCCTTTAGTACCACTTTGCGCATGTCCCAGTATTTTGGGGAGAGTAGTAGAACTGTCTGCTGTACCTGTCACTGTGGTTGAGATTCCAATATTAGATTGAGATACTCCTGTTGCCTGTGTTCTCTCCATGACCTTCTGACAGATCTCTAACGACCTCTTTATATTCACATTATCTTTTCCTCCTTCTTGGGCAGCTTTCTGCATTATTTCTAAAGAACGCTTCATATTAACTCCGTCTGACCCTACATCCGAAGTAGATGTTGTACCCTTGGAGATATTTTCAGAACTAACTGCCTTAACAGACTGCAGCTGTTTAGGTCGACCAGGGGCTGGCATTATAATGTTTGGCACATGTCTGCTTCCTGTAGAACTTCCTGTAGAACTGATGGCACTAGCAGGTATACGACCCCTAGCAATGAGGTGAGCTTGCAGTTTGGCTTGGGTTTCTGGCTGCTGTTGATGTAAATGCTCTCGTAATTGTTGCTTAGCTTTTGTCTGTGCTTTAATCTGTGCAAGTGTTCTTGTCTGCCCACGAGTGTTCTGGGCACGGATTTGTGCCAAAGTACGAGTCTGTGGTGGAGATCTGACTGCCACACCTGGTGTTGGCCCTCCTACCAGACCAGGAGACCTGGAAGTATGTGCCAGTGTGGCCTGTGGGGTGGTGTTGGCTTTGGTTGGAGTTGTCACATGCAGAGTGTGAGAAGGTACTGAAGGTGGTGAGGTAGAGATGGCATTCAGTAGCGAAACATGTTTTGTCTGTGTCACAGCAGGCTCAACAATTGTCACCGATTTGACAGGCTTAGTCCCTACAACACGTGTAGGACTGTACACTTGGGGAACATTCTTTTCTGGTGATGACACAACATCTACAATCACATCCTCAGACAAGGATGGGTTTTTCTGACGTTTTGCTGGGCTCACACTGTTGAGAACCCTGTGACCTTCAGGGTCAACAGGCATTGACAGCGACCTTTTGAGAGTTTTATGTGGGTCATTGTTACTGATTGCATGTTTAACAGTGGTCACTTTCATCAGTAGGCCACCTTGACCAGCACCATCTGAAGAGCTTCCCACAGTCTGAAATATTGATCGCTGTTTCAACATAGTGGAGACAAGTGTGGCTTTCTTCAGTTTTGTCTTCACAGGAGAGGCAGGAGTGACTGGTGATGGAAGGTCTGCTTTTGGAACTTCATACCCAACATTTCTGGAAATCAAGACAAATGACTTTAATATAATGAAAAACAAGTAAGGCATTCATATACCTCAACTCAAAAACATCAACTACAAATAGGCATAACATAAAGATGTTTGATGCATTCAAACTTTCCATGATTTTGTAATTTTCACAAACTACAAAAATCCAATTAAAAGAATTCTGTATGTGCACAGGTATTGGTGTAGTATCCAAGACAGGTGTCTTAGGTTTAAACTACCAAAGAGAGTACCAACTTATATTTGATGTTATACAATATCCTATCTAATGGCAACCAATGACCCATTTTGCACAAGTATCTTGTCTGACAAGTATGTTACGTTAGGTAGCATTATTGATTTGTTCGCAGCTGTGTTCAAATGATTACTACAACTCTCTGTTAAGAGAGAGAGGCACAGATTCCCAACAAAGTAAATACATACTCTTAAGCCATACAGCATCATGTAAATATCTTAACAGAGAATGTACTCTCTAGAGGTATACAGCATCACGTAAGTATCTTAACAGAGAATGTACACTCTAGAGGTATACAGCATCACGTAAGTATCTTAACAGAGAATGTACTCTCTAGAGGTATACAGCATCATGTAAATATCTTAACAGAGAATGTACCCTCTAGAGGTATACAGCATCACACAAGTATCTTAACACAGAATGTACTCTCTAGAGGTATACAGCATCACATAAGTATCTTAACAGAGAATGTACACTCTAGAGGTATACAGCATCACGTAAGTATCTTAACAGAGAATGTACTCTCTAGAGGTATACAGCATCACGTAAGTATCTTAACAGAGAATGTACACTCTAGAGGTATACAGCATCACACAAGTATCTTAACAGAGAATGTACACTCTAGAGGTATACAGCATCACATAAGTATCTGAACAGAGAATGTACACTCTAGAGGTATACAGCATCACGTAAGTATCTTAACAGAGAATGTACACTCTAGAGGTATACAGCATCACGTAAGTATCTTAACAGAGAATGTACACTCTAGAGGTATACAGCATCAATGTAAATACCTTAACAGAGAATGTACCCCCTGAAGAGATAAGGCACAGTATAAATATAATAACATACAATCAACCACATAAATAGATACGGCACAGTATAAATATCTTAACAGAGAATGTACACTCTTAGAGAATGTATACAGCATCACACAATAAATATCTTAACAGAGAATGTACACTCTAGAGAGATACAGCATCACACAAATATCTTAACACAGAATGTACTCTCTAGAGAGTATACAGCACACACAAATACCTTAACAGAGAATGTACCCCCTAAAGAGATAAGGCACAGTATAAATATCTTAACAGAGAATGTACCCTCTAGAGAGATATACAGCATAACACAAGAATTAACACAGAATGTACTCTCTAGAGGTATACAGCATCACACAAGTATCTTAACACAGAATGTACCCTCTAGAGGTATACAGCATCACACAAGTATCTTAACACAGAATGTACCCTCTAGAGGTATACAGCACAGTATAAATATCTTAACAGAGAATGTACTCTCTAGAGAGATACCACACAGTATAAATATCTTAACAGAGAATGTACCCTCTACAGACACACAGCTCCATGTAAATATCTGAACAGAGAATGTACTCTCTTAAGACATACAGCACAATGTAAATATCTTAACAGAGAATGTACCCCCTAAAGAGATACCACACAGTATAAATATCTTAACAGAGAATGTACCCCCTAAAGAGATACCACACAGTATAAATATCTTAACAGAGAATGTACCCCCTAAAGAGATAAGGCACAGTATAAATATCTTAACAGAGAATGTACCCCCTAAAGAGATACCACACAGTATAAATATCTTAACAGAGAATGTACCCCCTAAAGAGATAAGGCACAGTATAAATATCTTAACAGAGAATGTACCCTCTACAGACACACAGCTCCATGTAAATATCTGAACAGAGAATGTACTCTCTTAAGACATACAGCACGTATAAATATCATAACAGAGAATGTACTATCTAAATGGTGAATGTACCCCCTGAAGCCTTATAGAACAATGTAAATATCTTAACGATGAATGTACCTCCTGATCCTTATAGAACAATGTAAATATCTTAACAGAGGACGTAACCCCTCCAGCCATATAGCAAAATGTCTTACCTTTTCCCCCACATTTCCTCAAAATGTTTTGCCTGTAAAACAGAAAAGAGTTAAATGCTTATGAGATGGAATGATTAATGCTAAAATTTGAATTTTTTATTAACTGTAAAATTGAGATATTTTTTTCAAATTTCTGTCATGGTTAAAACTTGTGTACATTCTATGATCAAATTAGAAAACCTTCTTCGGTTGCTGTAGTACATTTTCAGAGAAATAGAAACAGAAATTTTTTTTTTCGACAAGAAGTGAAGCAGGTGGACAAGGAGCATTTCATAATAATGATAATTTCAGATACTGACAAAATCCTATCACATTTTATTCTCTTTGGTCCTAAAATTCTCCTATAAACCTTTGTTATAAAATTTCTTTACAGAACAATACTGTAGGAATCACTATAACTCTACCTTCCAAGGATCCAGTTTACTTAGCTCCCTCTCTTCTTCCTGCTTTATACGCATCTGGTTTTCTGGTGTGAACTCTCCTATAATGTCAACACATGTGTAATTTGGATCTGTTTTGTTTCAGGAATCATTTAACATACTGAAGATTTGTATTTTCGCACTTACAATTTTTTCCACTGAATAGTGTCTAGAAAGTAGATATTTTGAATACAATGTTTTTCCTACCATGTTTGCATACATTTTTATTCCTGTCATGATTGCATACAATGTTTTTCCTACCATATGTTCACAGTCTACAGATCAATCGCTAGTTCTGTTAATATTATCACATGTTGGAATAACACCAATAACCATAGGCTTTTCTCAGATTTCACATTGTTTTCATGAATAGTTTATAGAGGACAGAAATAAATCCTCACAAAGTTGTTAGTTTGAGGTACATATAAAGTTTACAATGACAAATTGAATTATACTTACCCTGCGAGAGCCTTTCAATCCATTCCTGGCAGGATTTATTGAAAAATTCATTGTTCAATGCTGTGCTACTTAACCTGGAACATAATAATTAATGAGAAAGTTTCTAGTAAAGACAACATTAAGATGATTAGGTGAGACTTCTTGTATAATACTGCTTTTATTCTTTCTTTTAATGTTGACAAAGTACATATAAAACATGTAGTATCCAAAAATATTCCAATTCTCATCAGATAATTGGCAGTACATCGATGAGCTTTAGTAAGATACTTTTCACAAATCTACAAATTCAAAGCCCTCCTACGTATATAGGCAAATGTTGTCAAGTAAAACATTTTGTGTAAAAATAATGGAGGGCGTTGTCCAATAAAACCATATATAAACATACTGGAGGGCATTGTTCTGTAAAACATGTATCTAAACATACTGGAGGGCATTGTTCTGTAAAACATGTATATAAACATACTGGAGGGCATTGTTCTGTAAAACATGTATCTAAACATACTGGAGGGCATTGTTCTGTAAAACATGTATCTAAACACACTGGAGGGCATTGTTCTGTAAAACATGTATCTAAACATACAGGAGGGCATTGTTCTGTAAAACATGTATCTAAACATACTGTAGGGCATTGTTCTGTAAAACATGTATCTAAACACACTGGAGGGCATTGTTCTGTAAAACATGTATCTAAACACACTGGAGGGCATTGTTCTGTAAAACATGTATCTAAACATACAGGAGGGCATTGTTCTGTAAAACATGTATCAAAACATACTGGAGAGCCTTGTTCTGTAAAACATGTATCAAAACATACTGGAGAGACTTGTTCTGTAAAACATGTATCTAAACATATTGGAGGGAATTTTTCTGTAAAACATGTATCATAACATACTGGAGGGCATTGTTCTGTAAAACATGTATCATAACATACTGGAGAGCCTTGTTCTGTAAAACATGTATCTAAACATACTGGGGGGCATTGTTCTGTAAAACATGTATCTAAACATACTGGAGGGCATTGTTCTGTAAAACATGTATCTAAACATACTGGAGGGCATTGTTCTGTAAAACATGTATCTAAACATACTGGAGGGCATTGTTCTGTAAAACATGTATCTAAACATACTGGAGGGCATTGTTCTGTAAAACATGTATCTAAACATACTGGAGGGCATTGTTCTGTAAAACATGTATCTAAACATACTGGAGGGCATTGTTCTGTAAAACATGTATCTAAACATACTGGAGGGCATTGTTCTGTAAAACATGTATCTAAACATACTGGAGGGCATTGTTCTGTAAAACATGTATCTAAACATACTGGAGGGCATTGTTCTGTAAAACATGTATCTAAACATACAGGAGGGCATTGTTCTGTAAAACATGTATCTAAACATACTGGAGGGCATTGTTCTGTAAAACATGTATATAAACATACTGGAGAGCATTGTTCTGTAAAACATGTATCTATACATACTGGAGGGCATTGTTCTGTAAAACATGTATCTAAACATACTGTAGGGCATTGTTCTGTAAAACATGTATCTAAACATACTGGAGGGCATTGTTCTGTAAAACATGTATCTAAACACACTGGAGGACATTGTTCTGTAAAACATGTATCTAAACATACTGGAGGGCATTGTTCTGTAAAACATGTATCTAAACATACTGGAGGGCATTGTTCTGTAAAACATGTATCTAAACATACTGGAGGGCATTGTTCTGTAAAACATGTATCTAAACACACTGGAGGGCATTGTTCTGTAAAACATGTATCTAAACATACTGGAGGGCATTGTTCTGTAAAACATGTATCAAAACATACTGGAGAGCCTTGTTCTGTAAAACATGTATCTAAACATACTGGAGGGCATTGTTCTGTAAAACATGTATCTAAACATACTGGAGGGCATTTTTCTGTAAAACATGTATCTAAACATACTGGAGGGCATTGTTCTGTAAAACATGTATCTAAACACACTGGAGGGCATTGTTCTGTAAAACATGTATCTAAACATACTGGGGGGGTTCTGTAAAACATGTATCTAAACATGTATCACACACTGGAGGGCATTGTTCTGTAAAACATGTATCTAAACATACTGGAGGGCATTGTTCTGTAAAACATGTATCTAAACATACAGGAGGGCATTGTTCTGTAAAACATGTATCTAAACATACTGGAGGGCATTGTTCTGTAAAACATGTATCTAAACACACTGGAGGGCATTGTTCTGTAAAACATGTATCTAAACATACTGGAGGGCATTGTTCTGTAAAACATGTATCAAAACATACTGGAGAGACTTGTTCTGTAAAACATGTATCTAAACATACTGGAGGGTATTTTTGTGTAAAACATGTATCGAAACATATTGGAGGGAATTTTTCTGTAAAACATGTATCATAACATACTGGAGGGCATTGTTCTGTAAAACATGTATCTAAACATACTGGAGGGCATTGTTCTGTAAAACATGTATCTAAACATACTGGAGGGCATTGTTCTGTAAAACATGTATCTAAACATACAGGAGGTCATTGTTCTATAAAACATGTATCTAAACATACTGGGGGGCATTATTCTGTAAAACATGTGTCTAAACATACTGGAGGGCATTGTTCTGTAAAACATGTATCTAAACATACTGGAGGGCATTGTTCTGTAAAACATGTGTCTAAACATACTGGAGGATGCTGTCCTGTGAAACATGCATTATAATACCAAAGGGTATTGACCACTAAACATGTGTTAACATACCGAAGAGTGTTGTCCTGTCCCACATATCTGTCACATTCAGGTAAAAAATGTAATAGTTTGTATTGGTACTGGCTTGGCAGTTTGGAGAACATTCTCTTGTCTATCAAATTCTGAAATGTAACAGTCATTGTTGAAAATCTGAAAAGGGTTGTTATCAACGGTGAGCACAAAATTTACTTTGACAATCACTGGAGAATTCTCATTTACTACAGAAACGACAGTACATAATTTTACTGTTTATAATCATACAATATTCCATTTAATTAATTTTACCTTTTGTATAGAAACAATGCATTACAAACACGCACTTTCTGGATTTAAAATCTCCAACACTTACTCTTAGGTTTGTATTACAAAGAATGGAGTCTGGAGTTTCCAAATCAATACAGCCTTCTTTTGTTTGGGCAATTTGTGCAGCATGGCTTAACTTTTTATGAGGCCTCCTTCGGGGCTAAAAATAACAAAAAAAAACATCAAAGTTATAGAATCAGTAATGATTACCAGTCATCAAATAATTTTGGAAAAATGCATGTATCTTCACCAAAAAGTCCTTCAGCAACTTTAGTAAAACTATAGCAAGCAATTCTGGACTTTATATCTTTCAGAATATCCAACATCTCCTATTAAGTCACGCTTATCTGTCTCAAATACCTCATGCATTAAAATTTGTTCTGAAGTGATCCGCCTATACCAGAAAATTGTTTTAAAAAATTTGCCAATGACCCAACACTCTTACCCATTAGTTGGGGGTCTACCTTTCTGTCACTAATAATCTGTATATTTGACCCAAAATTTGAGGAATTTAGAAAAATAAAATGGACAGGTACATATATAAAGTGACTACAGTAATGGTCTTGGTACCTAATCAAAGATACATGTAGTCTAATATAAAATGATTGTGGTGAGTGGATGGTTATTACAATAAGCAGTTGAAATTTCTTTGTAGAACATTAACACTGGACTGTACCTTCATACTAAATCCAGGAATCCCAGCCAGTATTTCTCTCATAGTCTGAGGACGCTTTGAAGACGGTGCTGGTGATTTACCACTGTCAGAGCTGTCAGATTTGCTATCACCATTTTGCAGACTGCCATCGTTTTCTGATTCCATTTCTGTATTTCCATCTGAACAAGTTAGATTATAAATGCATCATATATATATTATATATATAACATAGTATTTAAAAACAAAGATTGAATAGATTACTCATGATATTATGCAAAAACAGAATTTTCTATTTATCTTAACAGTGACCTTGACCTCCTGATATGAGGTTGTCCGAAAGCAAGTACTTCCTCTGAAGTAGCAAATTTCATGGATAAATTTGAGCAGAACCAACCCAACAGAACACAGTTTTATGTGGGGATAGAAGTAGGAGGAATGGATGTGGGCAATTAAAATATTTCCCATATGATCTCAAATCAGGGGGGTAACTAAATGGAGATTGTACTAAGTCAGCAATAATGTTATAACTTAACAAGCAGGTATTTGATAGTTTCGCGCCTTACATCTATTCTAGTAACATGATGGACAATTCACCTTTGACAGTCTTTACTTCTTTCTCCTTGTCAGGAGGTGGAATAGGTTTTATAATGATTCTGGGATAGTCGTTTTGTTTCTTCTTCTGTTTTTGGCGTAAAGACTGTCGCATACTTCGTCTCAGGGTGTGGTTGACATGCGAGGATATGCTTGTCCCTGACGACACAGATGAGGATGTGTGGTGGCTTTCCTTAGTGTCTGCTGGCTCTACTACATCATCTGCATCACCATTAGATTGTTCATCATCGTCTTCTGATGGAGGAATTGTTTTTACCCAGGAAGGTAAACTTACAAACATCACTGCAAATAACAATTTATGACACTAAACTTCTCTTTCTAAAACCTTTAGTATTTGTAACTTGTTCCATCAAAGAGCTAAGTTTTTAGATTTTCACTCATATTATACACAACGTATTTGATTTCCTCACCTGTCACTAAAAAATAACATGAATGATAATATAGTTTGGAATATAATGACAGTAAATGTAAATACAGCAATACTTTTATATTCTAAAACAAAAAGAGGAGAGCCTCTCTAAATATATTCCCACCTCATGATGTTTTTATTTCAACAATAACCAAGTGTGACCTTTAACCTTGACAGATGTTAACAAAGACCTAATCAGGTGTAGAACTTGAGGTTGTGATAAAATGCTGTTAATATGTAAAGAGTTTAAACAAGTTATCGTGTACACAAGCTTTAATTTCAAAAGAAGTCAAGGGTGATCTTTTACACCTTGACCAAAGATTACCACAATCTAATAAGGTGTAGAACTTGAGGTTGTGATGGACTGGTGTCAATATGTAAAGGGTTTGAACAAGTTATGTTGTACAAGCATTAATTTCAAAAGTGGTCAAGGATGATCTTCTACACTACTGACCAAAGATTACCACAATCTTAGCAGGAGTGGACCTTGAATTTTATCTGGTTTTTCAAGAATGAAATATGAATGCATGGACTTGAAAGGGGCAAAGCATTCCATTCAATCCCATTAATCCAGAAACCTACAATAATCATTTGGGAAGTACAGGTCATAATTCAAGTTTTGAAACATGAAATAATACCATTTTCCTTCCTGCGTTCCTTGAAGGGTCGGTCCCTGCCATCATCGTCTTCATTCTCTTCTGGTACTTCATGAAGTGTAGAACCACTGGGTCGATCACCCTACATACAACAAGAATAAGATAAATTAATGATATCTTTTCAGTATTGACCAATCAGATCAATGCTTTCTTTCAGTATTGACCAATCAGAACCATGCTTTCTATTTCTCCGTTGAAGTCTGTAAACTTTTCTATTGAGACACAGGTAAAGTTAGAATATTACATCTTTGTTGCATAAAAAATGGATTTTATTCAATAGTTTTCTCTTAAATGTCATGCACATTTTATTGAAATGACAGAACCTCAGTTTTCTATCACACTCATATAAAAGAAATCTTTACTATCATCCACATATACATGTTTAATCGTTGTTGTGCTCTTCAACAGCCATAACTTAGATTTATATATCAAGGCGTAATTCAGGCAATGTTTTAATATGTATAGCAGGTATCAAAAACCAGCAATCAAACATTAAACTAGAATAACAATATTACACTCAAAACCAAATGGTTATATAAGGACATTTCATAACTGTGAGTGCCATTAGTCCGTACACCTCTGATCAACCAGTCACTTTGTAGAAGACAAAAACCTTCCTTCACGTTACAATAAGACATTTGTTACCTTATAACTGTATGTACCATAAGTCTATAAACCCTTGTTCTATCAGTCACCTTCTATAAGACGAAACTTTCCCTCTTATTAAAATAAGACTTCTGTAACATTATAACTTTAAGTATCATTAGTTTTGCTATACATCCCTGATCTACTGGCTACCTTGTAGAAGATGAAAACTTTCCCTCTCACTACAATAAAACATTTGTTACATTATAATTGTATGTACCATTAGTATATGCATCACTATACATATATAGTCTATACATTTACCAACCTCCTTATATCAGACAGAAACCTTCATTTGTTAACTGTACATACCATTAGTCCATACACCCCTGATCTTCCGGCCACCTTGTAGAAGACAGAATCTTTTCCTCTGGAGTACGCATGGAGACAGGAATTTAGGCATGCCAAGGGCACAGACCCACTGGAAAAAGGCAAGCAATGTTCATATATCATAATGTGCTACAATCTTAAAAATTGTTAATCTCGGATATCTCATCTACTCACTTCCTACATTCTAAATGGTCTATTGCTAACAAAATATAAGTACTAAAATATTAAGATAAAAAACAAAAACAAAATGAACAACAACTTATATATATATATGTGTCCTAGACTCGGTTATAACCGTAACAAGGACGTTAAATCTCAAAAACGAAAAGAAAATAATCAAAAGAAACAACAACTTAATACTCTTGGTTTTGAAACTGCTAAAAATTTGCTGTGTATGAATCAAAACAGTAATAAATGCAGAAATTGACAGCATGAATCACTATCAGATGTCATGTCCAAATAAGATTTATAGAATTGGTACTGAATATAGCAACCATTAACGATTCTATTTAACAATATGATTTATAATTACCTGATATCCTTTAAGTTATCATCTTGGATTGCTTGTAGAATAGCTTTGTAGCTCATAGGAATCTGTGCATTTCTCTCCAATACCTAAAATAAAATACAATGAAATTTGGAATAAATGACAATTATTCAAATGTTCAACATAGTAGTGACTTTTATCATAATGTTCTGTTAGTATCTATGTAAAACTTCAATCTAAATCATTCAATTTTTTTCAGATTTCTTTTGTAACATTCAAACAAATGTAAAAGACAAAATCAAATGGAAAACTATCTCTTACAGTTTACCGTCTACATTGAGTTATTGATCAGTAAAATGACAAGGTTGTACATCTGTTTTATCAATAAAGCAGGTCTCATTTTCTGTAAATTTCTAAAATTTGGTGTTCTCACAGTCACCAAAAGCTGGTTGCTTGCAAAGAATGGTCTGTTATCCCTATTGTTTCAACTGGTTATGTTTTAGCATATACCAAGTCAATGTTTGATTGGCTAATTTTTCATTGACCAATTAATTTTAAACTTACAATTTACAGAAACTGAATTTACATAAAAATAAAAATATGATGTGAGTTTTGATGGAAAGACTGGAAAATCTGAAATGTGTTAAAATAAAAAAAATATAGACCTTCAGCATTAAATTAGACAATGGTACAGAGATGTGATGAGTTGTAACTTATAGAAGTATAGACTTTTCAATAATTCAGTCAGCTCTTCTGATGCAAGAAGGCTTTTGTCTTCAACTGGGGTGGGATGGGGGACCACAAATTATTCCAAGATGTAAAACAGAAATTGAATGAATACATATATGCCAAATAGCAGTGATATAGGAAGCAAACTTACTTATGGAGGTATTTCCTGACCTTAAATACCTTTAAGTGAGATCTGATAAAAATCTCAGCTCAACACTTGGCAAGAGAAAACCAATATACTTATTTTAGCATAGAAATCATCCATCATCAATTTTACAGCTTGCATCCAATGTGTTTGATATTTTAAATACATTAAATAGACACTGACTTTCAATTTTTCTTTTGGAGAAGCTTCCATGTACAACTATTTGCATTTTCTTCCTAATTGTTGTTAGACATATTTATTTCTTAAAAGGGATGAACCTTAAAATCATGATCAGGGAAAATGTGTAATCAGTGAAGCAGAAAATTGGAAAGAAATAAGTCACTTCCTTAACTATGCAGCAATTATCTAAAATCAGTCGGTCAGATAGTTATAATATATATATATCAACCTTAATACATATGATATGTCACCTGATATGGACTGAGCTATTTCTTTTCTTTTTCAGTAATTTATTTATCTACTAAGTAAATATTTATTCTGACATATTTTGACAGCAAGCTAACTTTCATTTCTGTCAGTTACACATGGGAATCTTAAAAGAATCTGTTCTTTATTCTCTAACAGCTGGGAATATGTCCAAAGCAAATCAAAATCAGTGATATGGCGTTCATAATCAAATGACAAGAATCCACATGCAGCTTGGAATAAATCGTCAAACAAAATGAAGAAAGAAAGCTGCAGTTTTTTTATGCTAAACGATGAAAACAATTGCTATTTCTTACGTGATCAACATATAAATCTTAAATGAAGAAGGGCTTGACTATAACTTGGGAGAGATGACATATATATCAAGATATCGATAAGCATATAAGGATTTCACCAGAAGCAAATACTGATCGGCTGTGGTCGTGGATATTTGTAAATAAATGTAAGCCAACAGTATGGAAAACTGTATTCTTTTCTCAGATAGATTTGTTCATACATGATCACCATCAGTAATACAATGGCTTTGTTGTTCTGTAAGGGAAAATAAGCTAGATCCGTTAAATTTTCAGACCGAAAATGCCTTAAGACAGCTGCCCATGCAATATCAAAATCGGACAACTGTTGTTGACGGTCGACTTTAGGATGTATCTTGAGACTTACTATCTTCGCAGCCTCGGCCCATGTTCGGTTTTTCCTTCTTTTCGGTTGTTTATCTTTCGAGTTATCGATTTGCATTGTGCATCCAAATGCAAAATTGAATAAAATAGTGTAAATATTCAGTCGTCATATCTTTACAAAGAGCTGACTCCAACTATCCTGCGCCATTTTTGTTAGAATCACGTGATAATATGAACATCCAATCAACGAGCTCGACACAAAATCCTGCATGGAAACTGCAATGGCGTCAAAATGGAGGACAGTGATAAACAAACCGTGAAACAATAGGTAATGTTGATTCTACATTAACCTTGTACAAGACACACCATTGAGTGATAAAACCCTTGTTCATAGATCGTAACCAACGAAATAATTACATTGAGAAACGGAAATGATTGTAGCTTAATGTATATCGTGTCTAAAAGGCCTACCTACCTTTGCTACTAACAAAGTTAGGTCCCTTGAATCAAAATCCATAAATATTGATCTCAGATTTACTGCTTTTACGACACAAAGAATTGTTTGGTTTAACAAGGAGGTATTTCAATCAAATCATTATAAATATCTGAATTATGTAATTTAAAAAAATAAAAATAACATAAATACCAACACTCAACACCTTTGAGAGCAGGCTGGATAAACACTGGAGAGATATGGTTCATAATATCAGTTTAAATAAATCATACATACCGAACAGAAACGACCAATATAAACTTACACTTAAGATGAAGGATTTGGATCTGAATATAGAGGCCTAAAGGCTTGAGATCAGTAGCGAATAAGTAAGACTAAGTAAATAAATAGGAACTGGCTAAAAGCAAATGCATTTGGATCCAAAAAGATGAACATTTTTACATATATCATTACTGCTTTATCATTTTGAACTGGTTCACAGCTATACTAAAGATATTTATACATTATGTTGAAATAAAGTTTTCTAAGCCTTCAATTGGAAATCGGAGGAAATCACTATTTTGATGATTTTAATATATAACACTCTCATAATGAGAATGGATTTTTAATTCATGTAGTCTCAGTTTGAATTTAAGCAATTGCTGGAATTATAGATCAGTAACTATAATATTCATCATTAGCCCATAAATGATGTTCTGTTTACACACACATACAGGCATTTTAATTCCTAAACATATTTCAGAAATGTTTGGAGGAATTGTTTAGCTACTTAGTTGACTGGCACTTAATGTTCACATTGATGATTATACATGATATCTTATTTTAGCTTTAATAAATACATATTCATATAATGTTTTGTCAAATATTCAGGTCACTTTAAAATGGAAGAAAATAACTGACATACTATCAAGATGTCTATGACAAAAGTGGTGAGGCTGGAAGATGTGGAGCCCAGGGAAACCTTCAGTTCACAGTTTACACAGAGCAAAAGTGCTCTTGTTGCCAGCTCCCAGTCATTACAAGGTAACGTATTCCTACACATGTTTTGTATAATTCAAATGATAGAACTGTTTTTCTATGGGTTCAATGATTCTGGTCAGTAAATTCATATGATAGAACTGTTTTTCTATGGGTTCAATGATTCTGGTCAGTAAAATCAATTTTAATTCATTTATGAACTATCCTTGAAGAAAGGTCACAAACATTTCAGTGGAAATACAGTGTGTGTTATAAACTATGATTTTATACCATAGATTTAGGTAGCTGGTAGAATTGTCCATGGCCAGTAGACAGTGTTTACATCTGTTTCTAATTTGTTATCTTTCAGTGGCCAGTACAAGCGGCTCAGATCAAGATGCAAATGATCTAGAGTTAATTGAAGCTGAAGGTATTTCTGTCTTTTTCTTTTCTAAGTAGACTGTATAATGAAAAACAGAGTAGACGAAAAGACATTTCAATATGATACTTATAAATGGACATCACATTTCCGCTGCCAAGGGTAGCCAGGAACTACCGGTATCAATAAAATTTGCAACATAAATATAATAACCTGATATTATTTTAATATGTATATGAAATGAGTTATGTTTTATCTTTAGTTACAGAGATAGTGTAAAATTATTATGGATTTATTGACTTATTTGTTTTCGTTGAATTAAAAAAAAAAAAGATAAAATCTCTCCTGCTTTTTCATATGTGTATCACCATAACATGTTCCTAATTCAAACTGATGTGTAATCTTACAGACAAAGTGTTTCCACTGCCAGAAAATTGGCCCAAAATACGAAAGCTGCTGCGTAGAAAGAGTTGTGAACTTGTACAAACAACCTCCCCATGTGTGAAGAAGGCAGTGTCTCATCTGGAACTTATTCAGAACATTATAGAGGAATGGTTTAGAGAACGTGAGGAAGAGAATAGGAGTCGTGCATCTATGCATGAAGGTAAAAATGTTTGCTGTTGACAAATTTGACACTTGTAGACAAAATTCAAAAGTTTTCTGGGAACAAATTTGTCATTTGTAAATTCTGTTTACAAAATTAAGATGTTTGAGCAGACAACTTTATTGTCTGATGACAAAACTAAAATGCTTGCTGGAGAATTCTGTATCAATAGATCTGAATATAAAGATGTCTTCAAGTTGGTGTGGCTGCTTACCTTTATCATTGGCAAGATCTACAGTCATTGCATAAGATCATTTATTTCTTCACTGATTAACTCTCTGTTATAACAAACATAGTTCTTAAAAAAAGTATTGGACAGAGTAGAATAAGTTCCCGGAAAACAACCTTACTTTTACTTAGAATGTCCTAAGTTTAAGATTGATTTTTTTTAGTGCAACTTTATTATACACCATGTTTCTCACATAAATGTTTCTAATTTTCAGCCGGAAGCAGAAAACAGCTGAGATTTGCAAGGTCCAGTGAGGATGGTTCAAAATTTCTTTCCAGTGCGAAAACTCGCAGCTCTATGACATCAGTGCCATCATCTGCAGGGTCTCTTGCCATCAGGGGTACAGGGGTTAACAAAGGTAGGGAAAAATGTGTATGTCATTGGGTTACACTTTTACAAGGGCTGCCAAAACAGATAGCCACTGTGTACAAATGTTGATGAAAACAAAAATGAATTTTAAAAACTGTATCTTGTAGATATGTACCTAGTTGGGAAATATATGCACCTGGGTACATAAAATGCAATTAACTGTGTCTTTTAAAAAGAAGTTTACAAAGACTTAATCACACAGTCCACTTATTCTGATGACTATCCCTGTCAGGAACTCGTCCATAATATTTTCCAAGTATAACACAAAGCGAACGATTACAGATGATGACTACGAAGGCCTGGATGTACCGTTTCTTGGTGCTGAGGAAGTTGTGGATGAAGTCATCACCTTGCTGGCCCGACTAGAAAATGATCGTCAAGAAGTGATCAACAGACTGGAGCAAGAAAAAGAAAAAGTCATCCGACTAAATGGGAAAATAGATCGTCTCTGTCTCAAACGCTTGGTGGAAATGCCAGCTGTTGTCCAGAAAGGTGACAAATTTATGATTTACTGGATTGTAATGACATATTATCAGAATAGGCCTTTGATTTGATACTTTAAAGCTAATTACACCTATCAGGTCTACAATAATTGTACATTTCAATGAAAATTAAACACGGCAGTGTTGACTCTTCAGAAAAAAAAACTCATTCCACACTATTTCTGTTTTAATACACTAAAAAATGAGACAAGCCTACTTTCAATATATGTATTGGCATATGAACTTATGATTTGTAAAAATGTCCATAGTAGAGTGACAAATGTCCATGGTAGTGTGACATATGTCCATAGTAGAGTGACATATGTCCATAGTAGTGTGACATATGTCCATAGTAGTGTGACATATGTCCATAGTAGAGTGATATGTCCATAGTAGAGTGATATGTCCATAGTAGAGTGACATATGTCCATAGTAGTGCGACATATGTCCATAGAAGAGTGACATATGTCCATAGTAGAGTGACATATGTCCATAGTAGTGTGACATATGTCCATAGAAGAGTGACATATGTCCATAGTAGAGTGACATATGTCCATAGTAGTGTGATATGTCTGTAGTAGAGTGACATATGTCCATAGTAGTGCGACATATGTCCATAGAAGAGTGACATATGTCCATAGTAGAGTGACATATGTCCATAGTAGAGTGACATATGTCCATAGTAGTGTGATATGTCCATAGTAGAGTGACATATGTTCATAGTAGTGCGACATATGTCCATAGAAGAGTGACATATGTCCATAGTAGAGTGACATATGTCCATAGAAGAGTGACATATGTCCATAGAATTGTGACATATGTCCATAGAATTGTGACATATGTCCATAGAATTGTGACATATGTCCATAGAATTGTGACATATGTTCAAAGTAAGAACACTATGTTAAAGTCTAATACCTGCATTGTTTAACAGAACACGAGGCATGTATCATGGACCTGAATGAGTTACAATGGCATGTTGCCTACGCCACTAGGAATGACAAGCGCATGCAGGATCGATGTAACATAGCAGAGGTTCTAAACTCCAGACTTATTGAGGACATAGCCTTCGTCAAGAAACACATGTAAATTTGTTTTCCTGTTGGAAAAGCTGATGATTCAGGACTTTCTTGAATCTGATGTTTGATTTCAGTTCACATTTTTTAAAGTCCATTTTGTTTAGTCAATTAATTTAGAGTTTAAAGATCAAATAAAATGCCAAGCTTTGATATTGGTCCTTAGAGATTTTGTTGAAGCTGTTTAGGATTAGAAAACTGTTTGCAGATATTTGGCATGAAGTTAAATTTTGTGTTTCTTTGTCACTACAATTTTTTTGTTGTAAAATCATTGTTTTAAAAGGAACCCATTCTTCTAAATTTCTGATTCATGATCCAAATAAGACACGCTAATTTTGTTTAGTTTTTGTACCATTCTGCCTTATCATTCTATTGTATTAGTATGATGTTTTGCTCCTTAAATAAAAAGGAAAAATAAGACTGATTAATGCATAAATGACCAATGAAATGAATACTAAACAAAACTTTCTGTAGAGTTTTAAAACATTGCAACCTGTAACGTGTTATTTTCAATGTGTATAATGTATACTAGTATCAGCATTTTCTTGTCTTATTTTTTCTGTTTTTGCCATAAGATTGCATAGCAAATACTGAACTTGAAAATTTCATGGAAAAGAGTGACATCATGTAATCATATTTCCTGTTCTTTGACAATTTTAACTCCAAAACAGCAAAATCTGCATATGGCAGAATAAATATGGTTTGTATAATGTATATATGATAATGTACAATCAATTTATTCTCGTTGTAAACATTTTTTTTTTCTTTTTAGACCTTTGGTTGAAGAAAAATTAGAATTGGAATTGGAGGCTATGGCCAGAATAAAAAATGCACAAACTGAGGTAAGTCTTCAAGTTAAATTCTTCACTTCAGAACATCTTATTGTAGCCTACACTTAATATATACTTCACAATGTCTGTCTTTCTGACATTGATATTCTCTACACACTTCAGAATATCTTATTGTAGCCTACACTTAATATATACTTCACAATGTCTGTCTGTCTGACATTGATATTCTCTACACACTTCAGAATATCTTATTGTAGCCTACACTTAATATATACTTCACAATGTCTGGCTGACATTGATATTCTCTACACACTTCAGAATATCTTATTGTAGCCTACACTTAACATATACTTCACAATGTCTGGCTGACATTGATATTCTCTACACACTTCAGAATATCTTATTGTAGCCTACACTTAATATATACTTCACAATGTCTGACTGTCTGACATTGATATTCTCTACACACTTCAGAATATCTTATTGTAGCCTACACTTATTATATACTTCACAAAGTCTGGCTGTCTGGAGTTGATATTCTTTATAAACTTCAGAACATTTTGTTACCGAAGTCTACACTTACAACATACTCCTGACTGTCTGGCTCCTTGGAATTGATATTCTATATACACATCAGAAAATTTATCAACTGTTTCTGAGAAGACTCTTTATCCATTTTTGTATTTTGTATTAGACTGTCACTGAACTTGACACCACTACACAGCGACAGGAGAAAACAGCATCCAAGTCCAGCGAGGCAATGCAGAAAGCTGACACTGAGCGATCACATATCAAACGAGAACTGGACACGGTCAAAGATGAATTGACCACTATAAGGTGAGTAAATATCTGTCCAGTTCTTTACTCTTAATTAAATATTAAAAATAACTGTTTAGAAGAACCTATTACACCCCTCTACTAGGTAATGGGAGATATATGAAAATATGCAAGTGTAGTAAGTTGTTTGCCTGTATGTTCATCTGTCCTTGAGTCTAAAGCTCAAGCTTATGATATCTCGTGACCCCTGAACTGATTAAGTTCATAATCATATCATAATATTACAACATCAAATTCTACACCTTATTAAGTCTTTAGCGGTAATCAATCAAGGTGAAAGGCTCAAAGGTCACACCTGAACACTTTGGAATAGATGGCTTCACCAGCTTCACCTGGGCTTGTCCAGTTGTACATGGTATAGAGCAACATTTACGTCCAATTTCTCAGGACCAGGGCTTGTCCAATTGACTGATATTTTCATTAAGACAAAACAGCTTCATTACAACCAAATTATGAATAGTATCATCTGACCATGAGGTTACAGGATATGAATCTGTTTCCTACACAGACTTTTAACCTCTGCTTTCACTAAAAACAGTTTTCAAATCAATTAAGTGGGGTCATGTAAAGGTTAAGGATTTGACAGTAGAAGAGCAATATTTCTTTATGTGTGCTTATGTTTTTGACAGTGAGGAGCTCTCAGAGGCTAAAATGACCCATAATGCTTATACCCATCAAATCAACGACACCAACCAACAACTCAGGGACAATGAACAGGAACTGACTGTGTTAGAGGTCAGATATGAGAATGCCAAGGTCGCTGAGGAGATGCAGTCTAGAAAAGTGAGTAAAAGACACTAGTGTTTGTATCATTGATGAAATGGAGGCCTTCAAAAGTGGAAATACTACATATTGGGGAGGGAATTCAGGCTTCATAAATGTCAATAGATCTAAGTTGTGTAAGTTTATATTGTGGAGAAGATAAAATGTGCTAAATTCTTCATAGAAATGATTTGTGTGGTGAGATAGTTGCGGAGGTGATACAAATTAATTTAACCCTCCTGGAGCATCAACTGTCTCTGTCGTTTCTATAGCGATGCTAGTGTGTGTACATGTTAGAGTTACTGTACTTTGTATACATGATTCAGTTATCATCGTTTACAGGTCACTGAGTTGCAGTCCAAGATAGCCGAAGCAGAGTTTGAGCGTGAGCGACTGGAAAATGAGAATGCATCGCTTTTACAGGAGATGAATTCAAAGGTAATTTATAAGTATATTGCCTAGTTATAATGGTCTTTTAGAAAAAATTCTGTTTTATTTTTATTTATATCAAATGTAATTGATTGTCAAAAAACTGTATAGATCCACTTCTTGTTAACGAGGGTCATTTAGAAAAAAATACTGTTATCTTTTTATTATTAACATAATTGATTGTCAGAGTATTGGTGATATTGAAAGTAATGCCCTGTTGTGATTTTAAGTATACTGTGAATTCAGAAAAGTTCCAATGACCACAAAATAGCAGAACTTGAGACCAAAGTGAAGCAACATGACTCCAAATTGCGGACTATCCTTCTAAAGAACCAAGAAGCTGAAATGGAAGTACACGACTACCAAGACAAGATTAAAGATTGGTAAGAAAGACTGTTAGGGTCTGATGTTATGATACTTGATGGTTAGCTCAGCTGGAACAGCATCAGCCATTTTCTTCATCTTCTTAAGGAATTCTAAGTTATTTTGTTGTAAGTCATACGACGATTAAGGATACTGTCAATTATATATAGATGAAGAATAGGTCTTTGACTGGAGGCAGAGGCTGGGGTTGTGCATGTAGGGGATAACATGGTATAAACAAAGGATGGTGCCACTGGAGGGTAGGGCCTAATTTTAAAATATTAAGGTAGAGATTTTAAAACAAGACCCTAATGATAAATAAAATACTGATTGGCCAGGAAATCCTTTGGGTATCTTGTGTTGTTATTTCAAACATTTGTAGTATTTTTCTTGCAGATTATAAATTACTGTTATTGTCTGTGTGATGTTTGTAGAAATAAGATTTCATATTAAGATTCCAGATGTTTTAAGGTAAGAAACAGTACAGCTTTGATGCTACATGAAGATTATCTAACATTTGTTTAACAGTGAGCGACAGAAGGTGGCCGATGAGAAGAACGTGGCTCGTATCCACAAGGAGAGAATGAAACTTCAGCAACAGATGACTGTTACTATGGAGGAGTACCACAAAGTTCAGCATATCAACACCAGTATCCGGGACCAGCTTCAGAATGAACAGGAAAAGGCATTCAAGTCGGAGGAGAGCCTTAAGGTTAGTAAGTGACATGGAGGTCATCAGGGGTCAGGAGTTCATCAGGGGTCAGGAGGTCACCAGGGGTCAGGAGGTCATTAGGGGTCAGTAGGTCATCAAGGGTCAGGAGGTCAATACTTCTAAGTCAGTATATAAAGCAGGCCAGTATGTCTCAAGGTTTTATGAAATCAGTGGTAGAAATATTGAAGGTCATGATCAACAGGTCACAATCAGTGTCCTAGGTCACTAGATCCATATATATTAGTAGTATTGTCTCTGCCTACATGTGTATGTATATTGATAACAATAATTCTGGATATAAAATTTTAAAGAAATTTCTGTTTTTTATCTCAAAATGTTTTTTTCATTATAACACTATGTGATGTGATTGACAGGTGACTGTAGAAACACTCCGGCGACAGGTGAAGGATGAAGTACACACTAGAACCGTTCTTACTGCACGTATCACTTCTGACTCCACAGAACTAACCAGAGCCAAAGGAGAAACTAGTCAAAGGAGAGAGAAGGTAGGGTATCTGGATATCAGCCACTAATGAAACACCATCACTTGTCCACTACACACACCATCACTTGTTCACTACACACACCATCACTTGTCCACTACACACACCACTACACACACCATCACTTGTCCACTACACACACCATCACTTGTCCACTACACACACTATCACTGGTCCACTACACACACCATCACTTGTCCACTACACACACCATCACTTGTCCACTACACACACCATCACTTGTCCACTACACACACCATCACTTGTCCACTACACACACCATCTCTGTCTACTACACACACCATCAATTGTCCACTACACACACCATCACTTGTACACTACACACACCATCACTTGTCCACTACACACACCATCACTTGTACACTACACACGTCATCATTTGTACACTACACACACCATCACTGGTCCACTACACACACCATCACTTGTCCACTACACACTCCATCACTTGTCCACTACGCACACCATCACTTGTCCACTACACACACCATCTCTGTCTACTACACACACCATCACTTGTCCACTACACACACCATCACTTGTACACTACACACACCATCACTTGTACACTACACACACCATCACTTGTCCACTACACACACCATCACTTGTACACTACACACACCATCACTTGTACACTACACACACCATCACTTGTACACTACACACACCATCACTTGTCCACTACACACACCATCAATTGTCCACTACACACACCATCACTTGTACACTACACAAACCATCACTTGTACACTACACACACCATCATTTGTACACTACACACACCGTCTTTGGTCCACTACTCACACCATCACTTGTCCACTACTCACACCATCACTTGTCCACTACACACACCATCACTAAAAAGTCTCATGGGATTTACCAAAATGTCACCTGTTGATTGTCAATTATAATTAGTGAAGTTATCATTACTCACAATTACATTATCAACAGTATATTATAAATCAGGATTTGTGTTATTCTGAACATAAAACTTCATTTCATACGATGGAGTAAGTAAAGTAATGAGAACAGCCAAGACATGGAATGTCTGGTAAGAGCGTTAATTTTGATGTCACAATACAGTGATCCTGAATGCAATTATAGTATCATAATTACATTGGATGTCTAGTACTGATGTGAAAGGACAGCGGCCAGCAGATTTGTGTTACAGTGTCTCTCTCCATTAGACAATGTTACAGTGTGTCTGTCTCCATTAGACAAATGTTACAGTGCATGTCTCTCTCCATTAGACAGTGTTAAAATGTGTGTCTCTCTCCATTAGACAAATGTTACAGTCTGTGTCTTTCTCCATTAGACAGTGTTACAGTGTGCGTCTCTTTCCATTAGACAATGTTACAGTGTGTGTCTCTCTCCATTAGACAAATGTTACAGTGCATGTCTCTCTCCATTAGACAGTGTTAAAATGTGTGTCTCTCTCCATTAGACAAATGTTACAGTCTGTGTCTTTCTCCATTAGACAGTGTTACAGTGTGCGTCTCTTTCCATTAGACAATGTTACAGTGTGTGTCTCTCTCCATTAGACAATGTTACAGTGTGTGTCTCTCTTCATTAGACAATGTTACAGTGTGTGTCTCCATTAGACAATGTTACAGTGTGTCTCCATTAGACAATGTTACAGTATGTGTCTCTCTCCATTAGACAATGTTATATTGTGTGTCTGTCTCCCAATAGACAATGTTACAGTGTGTGTCTCCATTAGACAATGTTACAGTGTGTCTCTCCATTAGACAATGTTAAAGTGTGTCTCTCCATTAGACAATGTTACAGTATGTGTCTCTCTCCATTAGAAAATGTTATATTGTGTGTCTGTCTCCCAATAGACAATGTTACAGTGTGTGTCTCCATTAGACAATGTTACAGTGTGTCTCTCCATTAGACAATGTTAAAGTGTGTCTCCATTAGACAATGTTATATTGTGTGTCTGTCTCCCAATAGACAATGTTACAGTATGTGTCTCCACCCATTCACTTTGTGATACCCTTAATTCCTCCATTTCACATATGTGTGGACATTAAACTTCCCCAGGCACATGTCATAGTAGATGAGGAGGATGACAGTGATGATGAAGATCTGTCAAACTCCGCTCAGTATCAGGTAAGTCTGTGACATACTTAGTGGTATTACAGAGGCACTCAGCTGGTGAGAATCTGTAGGGCACTAAATATGACAACTGGATTGCTGTGGCCTAACATAATGTGTTAACATGATTGATAGTTATTAATCATTGATTATTTCAAATTTCTTTTAAGATACAAGCTTACTATCAGGACTTACATGTGTTACACTTGGCATTAGGACTGACCAGTGTTACATTACTATCAGGACTTACGTGTGTTACACTTGGCATTAGGACTGACCAGTGTTACACTGTAGGCATTAGGACTGACCAGTGTTACATTACTATCAGGACTTAAGTGTGTTACACTTGGCATTAGAACTGACCAGTGTTACACTGTAGGCATTAGGACTGACCAGTGTTACACTGTAGGCATTAGGACTGACCAGTGTTACACTGTTGGCATTAGGACTGACCAGTGTTACACTGTTGGCATTAGGACTGACCAGTGTTACACTGTTGGCATTAGAACTGACCAGTGTTACACTGTAGGCATTAGGACTGACCAGTGTTACACTGTAGGCATTAGGACTGACCAGTGTTACACTGTTGGCATTAGGACTGACCAGTGTTACACTGTTGGCATTAGGACTGACCAGTGTTACACTGTTGGCATTAGAACTGACCAGTGTTACACTGTAGGCATTAGGACTGACCAGTGTTACACTGTAGGCATTAGGACTGACCAGTGTTACACTGTTGGCATTAGGACTGACCAGTGTTACACTGTTGGCATTAGGATTGACCAGTGTTACACTGTTGGCATTAGAACTGACCAGTGTTACACTGTAGGCATTAGGACTGACCAGTGTTACACTGTAGGCATTAGGACTGACCAGTGTTACACTGTTGGCATTAGGACTGACCAGTGTTACACTGTTGGCATTAGGACTGACCAGTGTTACACTGTTGGCATCAGAACTGACCAGTGTTACACTGTAGGCATTAGGACTGACCAGTGTTACATTACTATCAGGACTTACATGTGTTACACTGTAGGCATTAGGACTGACCAGTGTTACACTGTTGGCATTAGGACTGACCAGTGTTACACTGTAGGCATTAGGACTGACCAGTGTAACATTAACATCAGGACTGACATGTTTGTTTTTGGTCAGACTCTTTAGAGAGAACCAACAGAACCGTAACATATTTTTTGCATGACCTACTACACCATAGTGTCTACTTTGTTTCTCAATTTTTAATATTGAAGCATGACTAAGATATCTGACATTTCTTACCAGTGTTCTTCTCAAGATGTCTTTTTCCCAAAAGGAATTATTCTGAAACAGTTACTGCTAATCTTACGCCTGGTCTTTACATTCAATATTTCATGTCACAAGGACATTTGTGACTTTTGTTTAATAAAGTTACAAGATATATATACAGGGATGATAGTGTCTGTCTTAAAACATATACAGCTGGACAGGTGTTGTCTATCCTGAATCAGAGCAGAGTCACTCATGCAGGCTTCATCTTAATGTATTGTGACCTAACTATATCTACAGGAGTTATGCCCCTTTTCCAAAATTATCAGCTCTGACTGGATTTCTTCGCTAGTTTTCACATGTAACTTTAAAGAGTTGATTAAGAAACACTACAATTACGATATGAAATTGAAGGCATGATTAGGTTACATAGAGAATACATGGTTAGTGTCTTAAAAAATGAGCTGTATTTTGGCAATGGTGAAGAGAGACGAAGGTGGGGAGTCTCTGACAGCCACTCTTGTCTTTCTGTCATGAGCCAAATTGTAGCTATGTTTTAAGACACTTATCAGGTATTCTATTTATCCTGCAAATTTATTAAAAATTCAAACTTTCAAAATTTTGATAATTTGTCAGGTCTTTTTGATGTTTATTTACCTGACGTTGACACTATGCAGAACTGTGCCTGATAACGCATGTTAGAATAATTACTTCATCCGGAAAAACAGTTCCACTCTTCATCACTTCAAAGGATATAAAAGGCAATGTTTTTAATATTGTAAATAAATTTTTTTATTACACCAAATAAAAGGTTATTTAGACAATTATTCATATTTTAAATAAAATATCCAGGCGCAAGGGGTAATTCAGAAAAGTAATTCTGTAGAATTAATGCATGTGCTGCAATACAGCTGTTTTCCTTTACTGCGCAATACAGCAAAAATATTTATGATAGGTGTACTCTGATAATGGCAGCAGAGGTGTAGAATAAAGTAAACGTGATGGTTGTAGGACACAATACTGTGATAATGTGAAACTGAAGACAAGAGAAATAAATATAAGTAACATTCAAGTTTGTGTTGTCCATTAATTTGTAGAAATTAAAGAAAGGTGGTAAATTTCATTTTAACAAATTTTTTTTTTTTTTGCGATTTCTTCAGTTTAACTGTTTAATAGAGAGTTGTTTGTGTGTGTGATTTAGCAGAGTTCTGATTCACTCAATGAAGGTTTTGTTTTATCTGAGAAAGTGTGACCTATAACAGAGAGATGACTTCCTTGTGTGGTGTTCTTCATTTAATTCAAACAATCCAATGAAATTTTATTTTAATTTTTGATTTTGATAAAGGGAAATATTACAATGTTTTATTTTTAGTCTAAACCTGATAAATGTATGAAACAAACATGCTATGATTTAAAACCCTGTAACTTACCTAATTTGGATTTGAAACCAACAACTATGAATTACAAATACCTTATCATTACTGACATGCATGGAATTGACATTTAAGTTTGCAACAGAAGTTAAACTGATTGGTCTGCGATATCGGAGGCAAGCTGAGTAGGAACAACAACCGGCTACCTATATCTTGACCTCTGTTCCTGGTGTCCAGTTTTTGTTTATTCAGAAATATGTAAAAAGAAACTTTTGTGTGGCAGCTGCATATTATTCCTGTTTCCTCTATACACACACCCCCATATATATATATATATATATATATATGTGTGTGTGTATGTCAGAAGTCGTCGATGAAGCAGAAGATGCTTACTCTTTTGGAACACCTGGTCTTATTCTTTTACTTTTTCAGGAGTCTCTGTGTAAATCTTTCTATTGTTCATATTTTCCCCTAGTTTTACGGAATTTCAGTTTGAATTATAATCATGTTGACATGTTGGTATTTTCATGATGTTTTACATATACATTGTTTATATATATATATTTTTGTTTTTTAATTTATTGTAATCTTTGACATTCAGAACACTACAAAAACAGATGTGATGAAAGAATGTCTCTTTCCTGTTTAGAAATCTGTCAGCTGCCTTCTTACTGTGAATTCATTTTATTTTTCTTTTGACAGGCTAAAAAGGTAGCCACTGAAGTGGACGGGTTAGTGGACGAGGTGCTGGTCAAGGTTAAGAAACTCCGCACGGCCAAAAAAGAAAATAATGAGGTAATCATTTCATCAGTTTAAAGTTTATTATTGAAAAAATAAAGAATAAAATGTAAGCATAGTTTAATCCCTTAATGCTGTAAAATAAACCCATATTATGATTTAAATAAATTTAAAATATTCATTTTCAATATGAAAGTTTTTCATCTTATTTGAAATTCGTCAAAATATTTACTTACAATTCTAGAGATTACCTTTTTTAGCAGAAATCTATTTCTTATCTGTAGTGTTATGGTCATTTGACCCTTGACTTGGATTAGCTAAGCAGAATTGTGGAATCATATGGGAACATGCTGTATTCCCTAGATTTGTACATAAGTTTTAGTAAGCCAATGCATATTCTGAAACAAAGTTTTTTTTAAACTAGTACACAATATGATGTTTGCCTGCAAAGCTCTGTCATTTATAGTGGAAATAAATGCCATATGAAGGCAGTTCAATGCTTAAATAGATTTCTATGCACTACTGTTGATATTACTCCGGCTTTCAGGGTAAACTTTCATGTTTGTTAGATTTGATTTTTTTTAACTTAATCGAGAAAAACCCTGGCTTTGTCCTTTTGACTGCATTTTCTGTTTTATTTACCAGGTATGGTATTAATAATCTTTTCATTAAAATAGATTTATTTATTGTTTAGGAGTTATCTCCCTTTGACTGTGTTTATTATGACTAATTTTTTCGAATTTGCTTAAATCAACAATCATGTAATAGTTATGTAGTTTTAGATGATATGTATTCAAACAGGTAATATTTCATAATATTATTTGCTTTGTAAATATTTGTCTGTTTTCATGATGAATTATGAAAAAAATTGATAGATACAAGACAATGATTTACATATGATTTCACACAATTGTGATACAGTTACTGCAGTCAGTTAAAATTACAAGGACAATATTGTACACACTGATTTATATCAGCAATTATTAGTATAGTACTATACCAACCAGATCAGTGATGTTATATTGGAAAATAAGGTACTTTGGATTAAGAAGATTCATCGTGACGGTGTGAAGTGCAAATGTAAAGATACGATTTTGTTTGTCAGCCAGTTATATATATAATAATGTTTTCTGCCAGCCTGTTAAGGAGGACTTAACAGGAATGTATACCCTGAGGAGAGAGAACACAGAGGTAGAGTATATGGTGACATGTTTGCTGGGTATATTTGCAGTGTTGACCTGGGTCATTGTACCAGACATATTTCTTTTTGTATAATCAGCTTTTTTTCTAAAAACAAGCAGAGATAATGATATTTCAGACCTTAGTAAGCTGTAAATATTGAATAGTTAGGGCCCCATCAACAAAACATGATGGTCCCCTATCACATGACTTCTGTTGATCCTAATCAAACCAATACTTGACTGACAAATGTTTAAAGTCAGTAGGTAGTTCAAAGGTCAAGGTCAAAGTTAGTATCTTTATTACTAGTTAAAGATTTTGTTGAAATATTATAGAAGAGGACAGAAGGAACAATTCAAAGACTGACAAAACAGCTCTCATTGTTTTTGGGGTTTTTTTTTTTGTTAATATTTTCTGTCTATTTCATAACACTTGGGGCAAGATTACTGTTAGGATAAGAGAAAAAACCCAACTCTTTCCCACCAATTAGTATTCTGAAGTTACTATAAATACTGTTTAGGGAATGCTAATTTCATTTCTGTATACATTCATTTTCTGTATGCCTCTTTACCAGTTTTAAAACCTACCAAAAATTAAGATAAATGACAATACGAGTATCGTCTTTCATTTTAGATAGATGTACCAACAGATATTGACTTAATAATAGGTGTACAATGTAGCTTTCAAACAACCAGGCTGGCTATACTGAATATGTTGTTATGAAAGCTTATTTGTGCTGAGTAAATAAATTGATCATGATTATATACTTACTAAACATTATCTGATGGCCCTTTACTGCCGGTGTTGATTATATGTACCTGGTGTCTAGACAATGTATATTAGACAGGAAGTAAGGGGACATAATTCAGGTGATATGAGAAAATGACGGGGGTCTTAAAGTCTCAAACCTGCATATAATAAATAAGTTTGTAGGACGTCTACTAGTTTAACAAGCATCATCTGATGTGCTGACTGTTTGTTGTATCTAATACAATCTCGTATGTCTTAAGACAAAACATCGTAAATTGTTGTTTTTGTGGGTTTTGATTATCATTTGTGATAAAAAGATTGTGTACTGTGTGAATTGATTGTCTATTATAAGGATATACATGTGTGTTATACTACAAATAGTTTATCATTAATCCCTGCTTGCCACAATAACACAAAGCTGGTACCGTTAAAATCACTGGATTTTAGTTATAAGAAAATTCAAAGACTGTGTGATGGAAAAATGTCTTTAGTTTCGTAAATAGTATAATTTGTGTGTGTGTTTTTGTTTTTAGTGGAATTTTATAACAAGTAAACCCTGTTATAAAATAGTAAATTTATCAAATGATCTCAAGTTTTGTTGTTTGAAATGATGTTATTCAACACAGCAAAACAATCTGTTGTTATATAATATAAATAAGTTTTCACCAACAATAGAAACTAAGACACATTGCAGTGTAAATGACAATCCCGTGTTTAAATCCAAATTTTTGAATTTTTTTTTTTTTTTTTTATCAATAATGTATAGTAAATCACATTAAGACTATTGGTTGTTCGTCGTGATCTAATACTATTGTTTTGAGCTCAGGACGGAATCAAGAACGAAAATGTTTTACCAAATTTGGCAATAAGTTAAAGTAGGCCCCTTAGGCCCCTAAAAAAATTCCAGCCTCATTTTAGTCAGGATACTTAGTAATATATTTCTGTGTTGATTGTGATGTTTCAGAAAAAGGACCACTTGACTGCACAGCTGCAAAACACAAAGAAACAACACGAGGAGTCGCATAAAACTTTCAAATCCAAGATCAATGGAATAGAGCCGCACCATGACCACCTCAAGGTAAGACGATAATACTTCAGCTAACCAAAATCTTACTTTTGTATCGGTTCCATTAGTGTATAGTAGGGTTTGGAGAGTAAGAGTTGATAATTATAAGAAACAGAGAATCTTCAAATGCTCTGAATTTTGAAAAGAATATTTTATGCTCCCCATAGAGAGAGCATATAGTCACTGCTTTGTTCATTTGTCCATCTTTCTGTCCACCTGTCCATCTATCATAATTTTGTCTGGAGCATATCACTAGAGAGAGCATATAGTCACTGCTTTGTTCATTTATCCATCCGTCTGTCCACCTGTCCATCTATCATAATTTTGTCTGGAGCATATCACTAGAGAGAGCATATAGTCACTGCTTTGTTCATTTGTCCATCCATCTGTCCACCTGTCCATCTATCATAATTTTGTCTGGAGCATATCACTAGAGAGAGCATATAGTCACTGCTTTGTTCATTTGTCCATCCGTCTGTCCACCTGTCCATCTATCATAATTTTGTCTGGAGCATATCACTAGAGAGAGCATATAGTCACTGCTTTGTTCATTTGTCCATCCATCTGTCCACCTGTCCATCTATCATAATTTTGTCTGGAGCATATCACTAGAGAGAGCATATAGTCACTGCTTTGTTCATTTGTCCATCCATCTGTCCACCTGTCCATCTATCATAATTTTGTCTGGAGCATATCACTAGAGAGAGCATATACAAAAGTCACTGCTTTGTTCATTTGTCCATCCATCTGTCCAAAAAGCCTGTCCATCTATCATAATTTTGTCTGGAGCATATCACTAGAGAGAGCATATAGTCACTGCTTTGTTCATTTGTCCATCCATCACCATCTATCATAATTTTGTCTGGAGCATATCACTAGAGAGAGCATATAGTCACTGCTTTGTTCATTTGTCCATCCGTCTGTCCACCTGTCCATCTATCATAATTTTGTCTGGAGCATATCACTAAAGCTGTAAGAAACTTCATACGTAGATAGATCTCGATAAGGAGAAGTACATTGTCCAAGAACCATAACTCTTGCATAATTTAGGAGTTATTGAAACTTGGTGTATACATTGGTCATACTAACGGAATGTGCAGTGTACCAAACTCAGCGCCTACAACTTCTAAATAACAGAATTATTGCCCTTTGGTTTAATTTTGTGTCCAATAAAGTCATTTTTGGAGTGCATTCATCAGGTTCACTAATACTCTTGTTTTACTTATAGAATGAAGTGCTTGGGTTGGATAAAAGGTTAGATCATATGTCCTGGAAAACAGACTTGATGAACAAGCAGATGGATGATTGGGACAGGGAGCAAACAACAATGGATAGACTTGTCAGCAACACACAAAAGGCCATCGTAGACTTCACGTAAGTTTTATGTTGGTGTACAGTACACAAAAGGTCATCACAGACTTCACGTAAGTTTTATGTTGGTGTACAGTACACAAAAGGCCATCACAGACTTCATGTAAGTTTTATGTTCGTGTACAGTACACAAAGGTAAGTTTTATGTTTGTGTACAATACACAAAAGGCCATCACAGACTTCACGTAAGTTTTATGTTGGTGTACAGTACACAAAAGGCCATCACAGACTTCACGTAAGTTTTATGTTGGTGTACAGTACACAAAAGGCCATCACAGACTTCACGTAAGTTTTATGTTGGTGTACAGTACACAAAAGGCCATCACAGACTTCATGTAAGTTTTATGTTCGTGTACAGTACACAAAGGTAAGTTTTATGTTTGTGTACAACACACAAAAGGCCATCACAGACTTCACGTAAGTTTTATGTTGGTGTACAACACACAAAAGGCCATAACTAGCTTAAGTAATATCCTTAGTAGTCCAGACCCCATGATACTCAAAAGGACAGCATGAATGGTGAGTAAGTTTGTCTTTGATGGAAACATTAGTAGAATGTCATTTTATAAGTTTTACAGAGGACATATAATGTTTTACAGAGGACACTCTAAGTTTTACAGTGTTTATAAAGTTTAACAGTTTTACAGAAGTCAGAAAGTTTTACAACTGTCACATATGGTTTTACAGAGGTCACAAAATTTTACAACTGCCACATTAAGCTTTACAGCAGTCATATTTAGTTATACAGCTGTCACATATAGTTTCAAGCTATCAAAAACACTTGACTCTGGTGCTGGAATATCACAGGGTGAATACACATGACATGTTTCTGTTGTAGTGAGCGCTTGGAAGAGGTCAATATCCAACTGAAAACGAACACGAAGTTAGATGAAGATCTCAAACTGGATTATGAAAATCTGTTAGGTAAAACAAAATAATTGCAATGTTTAAGTAAACATCACTATCAAAAGATGAAAATTTCATCAAATACATACATATGTTATATATGTATGGTAGGGAGGTGTATATAGTATGGTAGGGAGATGTATATAGTGTGGTAGGGAGATGTATATAGTGTGGTAGGGAGGTGTATATAGTGTGGTAGGGAGATGTATATTGGCAGATGTATATAGTGTGGTAGGGAGGTTTATATAGTGTGGTAAGGAGGTGTATATAGTGTGGTAGGGAGGTATATATAGTGTGATAGGGAGATGTATATATTGTGGTAGGGAGATGTATATAGTGTGGTAGGGAGGTGTATATAGTGTGGTAGGGAGGTGTATATAGTGAGGTAGGGAGGTATATATAGTGTGATAGGGAGATGTATATAGTGTGGTAGGGAGATGTATATAGTGTGATAGGGAGATGTATATAGTGTGGTAGGGAGGTGTATATAGTGTGGTAGGGAGATGTATATAGTGTGGTAGGGAGATGTATATAGTGTGGTAGGGAGGTGTATATAGTGTGGTAGGGAGATGTATATAGTGTGGTAGGGAGGTGTATATAGTGTGGTAGGGAGGTGTATATAGTGTGGTAGGGAGATGTATATAGTGTGATAGGGAGATGTATATAGTGTGGTAGGGAGGTGTATACAGTGTGGTAGGGAGATGTATATAGTGTGGTAGGGAGATGTATATAGTGTGGTAGGGAGGTGTATATAGTGTGGTAGGGAGGTGTATATAGTGTGGTAGGGAGGTGTATATAGTGTGGTAGGGAGGTGTATATAGTGTGGTAGGGAGGTGTATATAGTGTGGTAGGGAGATGTATATAGTGTGGTAGGGAGATGTATATAGTGTGGTAGGGAGGTGTATATAGTGTGGTAGGGAGATGTATATAGTGTGGTAGGGAGATGTATATAGTGTGGTAGGGAGGTGTATATAGTGTGGTAGGGAGATGTATATAGTGTGGTAGGGAGGTGTATATAGTGTGGTAGGGAGATGTATAGTGTGGTAGGGAGGTGTATATAGTGTGGTAGGGAGATGTATATAGTGTGGTAGGGAGGTGTATATAGTGTGGTAGGGAGATGTATATAGTGTGATAAGGAGGTGTATATAGTGTGGTAGGGAGATGTATATAGTGTGGTAGGGAGGTTTATATAGTGTGGTAAGGAGGTGTATATAGTGTGGTAGGGAGGTGTATATAGTGTGGTAGGGAGGTGTATATAGTGTGGTAGGGAGGTGTATATAGTGAGGTAGGGAGGTATATATAGTGTGATAGGGAGATGTATATAGTGTGTTAGGGAGGTGTATATAGTGTGGTAGGGAGGTGTATATAGTGTGGTAGGGAGGTGTATATAGTGTGGTAGGGAGGTGTATATAGTGTGGTAGGGAGGTGTATATAGTGAGGTAGGGAGGTGTATATAGTGTGGTAGGGAGATGTATATAGTGTGGTAGGGAGGTGTATATAGTGTGGTAGGGAGATGTATATAGTGTGGTAGGGAGATGTATATAGTGTGGTAGGGAGGTGTATATAGTGTGGTAGGGAGATGTATATAGTGTGGTAGGGAGGTGTATATAGTGTGGTAGGGAGATGTATAGAGTGTGGTAGGGAGGTGTATATAGTGTGGTAGGGAGATGTATATAGTGTGGTAGTGAGGTATATAGTGTGGTAGGGAGGTATATAGTGTGGTAGGGAGGTGTATGTGGTATGTATATAGTGTATATAGTGTGGTAGGGAGGTGTATATAGTGTGGTAGGGATATGTAGGTAGTTGAAAAGAAGTAGATTTGAGAATTTTTGTAAAGAAAGACTGAAGGAATACTTGGTATAGTTACATGTGAATAATACCTGTATTCTATACTCTTCATTTTAGCTCGGATTCATGATAATGATAAAAACCATAGAGACTTCCTGGAGGACAGAAAAAGATTTTTGGAAGACTCTCAGGTCTGTAGCATTTGATACACTTTGGATAATACAACTCCTGATTTGATAGACAATATTCCATTGACATCCATTTAAGATCACCTCTTAGAATGAGAGGGAGAACTAATTTTGTTTCTCTGTTGTCAGTATTGGTTTTTAAGTGTTAAGTATATGGTTCAAGTGTTGGAAACCATTAGGAAATCATTTTATTATTATATTAGGGTACTGATAAATTTTGTATCAGGTCCCTGTGGGTTTAATTATCAGGAGTCGAAATAAAAGATATTTTTGGGGGAAAAACCTGCGTTTTGATATCTTTTACTTTTCATTATTTGTGTCTGTTGAAATTTGCATGTGTTGGGACGCATAATTTTATAACTATACAACAAGCACAAATATTTGGAATCGGAGTTTCAGTGTTAGGATTATTATAACATCTCATAGTCTATAGGTCTAGGTTTGTACATGATTTGCTTTGTAAGAGATTGATCTGTAAGCTCTCAACTAGTGTTAATTAAACTATCATCGAAATACAATATAGACAGGTAGCTTGACAAACAACTTCAATTTATAAACTTTGTATAGTGGTACTTATCAACAGACCATTAACAGATGTCAAACTATATATTTTTCATATGCTCTTGACAAACGTTTGTGAGGGAAGCTGTTCTGCAACAACTCTTGTTCGTCAAAAACAAATCTTTATTAAAGATTTAAATGTCAAGTCATAGACATTTGGGGCTGCAGCATCTCAATCAGTAGAGCTTTGGACGATGAAACTTCAGGTGAAGATCTGGTGGTTAGTGTTTCTCAACCAGTTTGGACTATCTAAGTTATGTCCTAGGGCAAAACACTTTACTGTTATTGCTGTGGATGGCATGCAGTGGGCCTCCTGTATGTTGTTCAGTGAGGTAACCACCAGCTACTTGTAGGAGACATGAAATGATCCTAGCTGTTCACAGATTGATAAATCCAGAAAAATGAAACAAAACAATGTGTAGGCAATAAAGTTTTTTTCATGTAATATAAAGTTGTATATTCTTATGTTTTTTATAAAGGGTGATCAATCACGCCGACTTGAGCTGAATAAGAAGTTAGCATCAAAGTATAGGCAGATGCAGAATGATTTCATTGTGATGAAGGACAAGATACTTAACACCTATGAGGAGAGAGTCAAGCTGGAAGAAGCAATTAAAGACTGTAAACAGGTAGGTCACTTGTCTGATACCTCACCAACAGGTAGGTCACTTGTCGGATACCTCACCAACAGGTAGGTCACTTTTCTGATACCTCACCAACAGGTTGGTCACTTGTCTGATATCCATTTTTTGTCCTGATTGCAGCTGCAAGCCTTGCAGCAGAGGATGCATGGTGCTATGCTGGAGTACTTCAAGTACAGGGAACTGTACAACAAGTCCGAGCTGCGTCGCATGCAGAGTGAGTCTAAAATAAATGGTATCTGTGTGGCTGATCTTCAGACTCAGATGGAAGTTGCACTGAAGAACATCACGACCTTTATGCAGACCGAGATGGATGGAAAATCAGCACGACGTGTTGCATGGGAGATGATCAAGGCACACCAGGACAGGGAGGAGGAGAAAGAGAGAAGGTTAGGGCTCAATCTACGAGGAGCCTCCCCTGTTATACCACCTATCCGCCAACAGCCTGTACAGGTCTAACTCTGCTGTGTGATATCAGATCATAAAGTCCTTAATCAATGGATGCCGTTGTTTTGAATCTCAGCTTAAACTGCTGTCAACATATTTATTTCCAAAATATGTAATTAACTTTATCTTTTAAAGTTAAAAATGCTTGAGTTTGGATCTGAACTTTTCTGGAAATCGTTACAGAGTGTGAGGTGCACGAGACTTATTGTTAAAAAAAAATTGATGTTCCTACACAGTGTTAGGTGTCAGTGTGAATGTCAGGTAATGGAATCGGTTTGCACATTTTGATCATCGCCCCATGTCAAGGACAAGAGGACGTCAAGATTATTACTGTTAAATATGATGTTGTATGCTAGTACTGTGTGTCTAGAACACTTCCAGCAGGTATCAGAAGTAGAAAGCAGAATTTATATTTGTATGAACACATTCCAGTTTAGTGCTTTTCTAGATACGCCCACACTGTGCCCTGTCAAAGTGACTATATGTTGTACTAGGAGAACTAGCCAAGTTATAACAAGTGATAAAGATAATAAATATCCGTCCATATACTCCAGTATTACATCAAAGCATTAGTCAAAATCTATTCTTCCTGTAAGGATCTACTGTGTTTTAATGATAATTTATTTTTTAAAAATGAACTTGAGAATAATATGTGCCTTTCTGATAACCCATCTTTCTATTATTGCTGGTTTCTTTTTTTTTTAAACGTACAGAACTTCAGCATTTATAATTTTCAGCATTGATTCAGGAGATAAGAAACGCATTATTGTAAAGGAAAAGATAGAAATCATTTTGAAGTGAAATAAATGGCAAGAAAATATCTTTATTGATTCTGAATGATGTTGGTAATGTTTATCAATATTTTTGTGATTGCAATTTTAAATTGCAGCTGAGCATTTTGTAATTATTTTTGTAAGCTATTCCTGAAATATACAGAAAAATTATGCAGTTCTTGTCTCGTTGACGTTAAACATCACAGAATTGAAAGGTCAAATTTAAGGTGTATTTAAAATGTTGACGCCAATCACTCCTTGCTTTAACTTGTTTGTCATTGATGAAAGGTTATGATGGCACATACAACCTTTTAATGTTGGTAGATTTAAATCACATATTTAAATTAGAAGTGGCGAATATGGGACATCTTTTTCTAAAATTATAATTTTTCACAGTAAATTAGTGTTGAAGTATATATAAAATAAATAATGATATTTTTTTGGAATTGTAGAAAAGTTAGCAATAAGTATTGCATAGATATTTTTCACATCTTACCTTTATGAAGTTTCACATCTTACTTTTGTGAAGTTTTTACATTTTACTTTCAGGAAGTTTTCACATTTTACTATTGTGAAGTTTCACATTTTACTTTCAGGAAGTTTTCACATTTTACTTTTGTGAAGTTTCACATGTTATTTTTGTGAAGTTTTCACATTTTACGGTCAAGAAATTTTCACAGCTAATGTAAAGTCAGATGGATACATGATGTAATTGTGATACACATTAAGTCCATATAACTGAAGTTTTAATTTTGGGTTTTTGGTACTGAAACACTAATTCATCATTATTTTCATATTTACAGTATGTGCTTAAATGCCAACAAAATGAAATGGCTTTCCTGAGTTTTATTCTGACCTCTGTTCTGTTCAGCTATGTAAGCATCTAGATGTTACACATTATATATGATGTACTATGTCTTAATTATTTTATTGGGAAATGATAATTAAATAAAATATAAAATTACACTTTGTTGCCACTGTTCTTTCCTCATCGTAGTTAGTTAGAGAAGTATCAGGTTTCAGTAAAGTTTGACTCATACCTCTGCTACTTATTCACTAGAACATTACTAAATCTCTATAGAGCAGTTCACAGTCACCGCATGTTGGGAAACACATAATGTACTGCTGTACAAGGCTACAGGCAAATATGGGTATGATGCTTACATGATATTTTTATTCTAAATATAGATCTGATGAAATGATTTCAGGGTTAAGTTAGGACAATGGTTTCTAGCAGTCAAAGATCCCTTAAATCATCAACCATTTGTCACCTAAAAATCACAGAGCCCTTAAACCAGCCTAAAAACAAGGACAAAATTTTGTACAAAGACCACAAAACTGACATGCTGGTGACAACACTGAAAAGAACAGGGTATTTAAGTGGCTAGGTGACTTTCTTTTGTGGGCAGCGTCTTCTCTTTCCATGCAGTGATAAAGATAGAAAAGTGAGAGGCCCTGATGAAAACTGATTGCATTAAAGTGACATGTTTAGACCTTCTTAGATGGCAGTTAAGAGACAGGACCAGATGAAAACTGATAGCATTAAAGTGACAGGTTCAGATGGACATAGATGACAGTATAGTGACAGGAACAGACAGATATTGATGGCAGTACAGTGACAGGTTCAGTCGGACATTGATGGCAGTATAGTGACAGGTTCAGACGAACATATATGGCAGTATAGAGACAGGTTCAAACGGACATCGATGGCAGAATAGTGACAAGTTCAGACGGACATTGATGACAGTATGGTGACAGGTTCAGACGGACATTGATGGCAGTATAGAGACAGGTTCATGTGGAAACTGGTGACAGTATAGAGACAGGTTCAGACGGACATTGAAGGCTGTATAGTTAAGGATTCAGACAGATATTGATGGCAGTATAGAGACAGGTTCAGACGGACATTAATGGCTGTATAAAGGATTCAGACAGATATTGATGACAGTATAGTGACAGGTTCAGACAGATATAGATGGCAGTATAGAGACAGGTTCAGACAGACATAGATGGCAGTATAGAGACAGGTTCAGAAGGACATTGATGACAGTATAGAGCCAGGTTCAGACGAACATTGATGACAGTATAGCGACAGGTTCAGACGGACATTGATGACAGTATAGAGACAGGTTCAGACAGACATAGATGGCAGTATAGTGACAGGTTCAGACAGACACAGATGACAGTATAGTGACAGGTTCACACAGACGTAGATGGCAGTATAGTGACAGGTTCAGACAGACATAGATGGCAGTATAGAGACAGGTTCAGACGGACATTGATGACAGTATAGAGACAGGTTCAGGCGGACATTGATGGCAGTATAGAGACAGGTTCAGTCGGATGTTAATGGTAGTATAGTGACAGGTTCAGACGGACATTGATTACAGTATAGAGACAGGTTCAGATCGGACATAGATGGCAGTATAGAGACAAGGACATTGATGGCAGAATAGTGACAAGTTCAGACGGACATTGATGGCAGTATGGAGACAGGTTCAGACAGACATTGGTGACAGTATAGTGAAAGGTTCAGATGGATATTGATGGCAGTATAGGGACAGATGAAGACAGATATTGATGGCAGTATAGGGACAGGTTCAGACGGTTATAGATGGCAGTATAGTGACAAACTCATGCGGACATTGATGACAGTATAGTGACAGGCTCAGGCGGACACTGATGACAGTATAGTGACAGGTTCAGACGGATATTGATGGCAGTATAGTGACAGGTTCAGGCGAACATAGATGGCAGTAAAGAGACAGGTTCAGATGGACATTGATGGCAGTATGGAGACAGGTTCAGACAGACATTGATGACAGTATTTAGACAGGTTAAGGCGGACATTGATGGCAGTATAGCGACAGATTCAGACGGTTATAAATGGCAGTTTAGTGACAGGTTCAGATGGACAATGATGACAGTATAGTGACAGGTTCAGTCGGACATTGATGACAGTATAGTGACAGGTTCAGATGGACATTGATGACAGTATGGTGACAGGTTCAGATGGACAAAGATGACAGTATAGTGGCAGCTTCAGACGGACATTGATGACAGTATAGTGACAGGTTCAGACGGACATTGATGGCAGTATAGTGACAGGTTCAGACGGACATTGATGGCAGTATAGTGACAGGTTCAGACGGACATTGATGGCAGTATAGTGACAGGTTCAGATGGACATTGATGACAGTATAGTGACAGGTTCAGACTGACATTGATGGCAGTATAGTGACAGGTTCAGACTGATATTGATGACAGTATAGTGACAGGTTCAGACGGACATTTATGGCAGTATAGAGACAGGTTCAGACGGACATTTATGGCAGTATAGAGACAGGTTCAGACGGACATTGATGACAGTATAGTGACAGGTTCAGACGGACATTGATGACAGTATAGTGACAGGTTCAGATGGACAATGATATTGATGACAGTATAGTGACAGGTTCAGACTGATATTGATGGCAGTATAGTGACGGATTCAAACGGACATTGATGGCAGTATAGTGACAGGTTCAGACTGATATTGATGACAATATAGTGACAGGTTCAGACGGACATTGATGACAGTATAGTGACAGGTTCAGACGGACATTGATGGCAGTATAGGGACAGGTTCAGGGTAGTATAGTGACAGGTTCAGACGGATATTACAGTATGAGACAGGTTCAGTCGGACATAGATTCAGAAGGACATTGATGGCAGAATAGTGATTCAGACATATTGATGGCAGTATGGAGACAGGTTCAGACAGACATTGGTGACAGTATAGTGAAAGGTTCAGATGGATATTGATGGCAGTATAGGGACAGATGAAGACAGATATTGATGGCAGTATAGGGACAGGTTCAGACGGTTATAGATGGCAGTATAGTGACAAACTCATGCGGACATTGATGACAGTATAGTGACAGGCTCAGGCGGACACTGATGACAGTATAGTGACAGGTTCAGACGGATATTGATGGCAGTATAGTGACAGGTTCAGGCGAACATAGATGGCAGTAAACAGACAGGTTCAGATGGACATTGATGGCAGTATGGAGTCAGGTTCAGACAGACATTGATGACAGTATTTAGACAGGTTAAGGCGGACATTGATGGCAGTATAGCGACAGATTCAGACGGTTATAAATGGCAGTTTAGTGACAGGTTCAGATGGACAATGATGACAGTATAGTGACAGGTTCAGTCGGACATTGATGACAGTATAGTGACAGGTTCAGATGGACATTGATGACAGTATGGTGACAGGTTCAGATGGACAAAGA